TTGTCGTTCCAAATCCTATGATATTGACGAGTAAGACAAGAAAGGTCACTAGTGTTGTCGTATTGACGATTGATTTGCGTGGTCTAAGAGTCATCTGATGTTGACGAATTGGTTTCGTTGATTCTTTAGGCGTTTCATCTTGAATTACTGAGGTGTTTGTTGAGGGTTCGTCGATTTCGGTTTCCAAAGGACAGAGTCGGCTAACTGGTCGTGTGATGATTTTTCCATCTCCAGTTAATAGGTTGACGCTGCGGATTTCATTAGCCGAGCCATTAAGTTCGACGATTTTTGCTAAGGGCCATAGATTCCTTGGTCGAAGATCCATCTCGACGAGAACAACTTGACCAATTTTCGGTGGTGATGTTGTTTGAGAACGAGGTCCTTTGTGTGTCCATCCAGCTCGTTCTCTGATTGCCAAAATGTATTCGTTGCTCCATCTAGACCAAAAGACGTCTGCTGCTTTTCTATAGGCGTTCCAAAGTGCGGCTAGTTTCTCCGGTCCAGACAATTTTTCGTCGTCGTAGTCGAGGTCGCAATCGGTTGGTCCCAGATCATTTGGACCACTATTCTGTATGAGATCTTTTGGCGTTAACGGTTTTGGCGCTCCAGGTTGGTCCGATACCCAAGTAATTGGCCGACTGTTGACGCTTGCCTCCACTTCTGCTAAGAACGCTCCTAAATCGTCGTAGTCGAGTATTCGTTTGCCGATGGTGCGTTGAATTGCTCTTTTGACGAGTCCAATTAGTCGTTCATATGTTGCTCCCATCCACGGTGCATAAGAAGGTATGAAGTCCCAGCGTATGCCATTTTTAGTCGTGTAGTCCCAAGGCGGCTTTTCAGGCGGCGGTCCAGTGAGTAGATCCAAAGCTTTATGCACTTGAATAAAGGTCGGCGCGTTGTCGCTCAATATTCGTCGTGGTTTGCCTCGGCGACTGATGAATCGACGTAAGACGTTGACAACGGAGAGTGATGACATATCTCGAGTTGGTTCCAGGTAAATGCCGCGGGTGACCATACAACAAATGATGATGATCCAAATTTTGACGTTTTGGCTGGCGTAGTTTGTCGTGGTCGGTCCAAGGAAGTCGATACCAACAAATTCGAAGGGCTTTGCTGGTCTAACACGCATAGACGGAAGTTGAGGCATCAATGGACGTACAAATGGTGGTGCATGTTGTCGACGGCATTGAAGGCATTTGTGAAGAATTCCTCTAATGGTTCGACGAGATTGAGGCATCCAATAGCGACTCAGGAATTCAGTCATTGTCCAATCGACGCCAGCATGTTTGAGGTCCACATGTATTTCTTCTACCAATAGTCGAGTTAATGGCGAATGTCGATCAAGAAGGATAGGCAGTGCCATTGTTTCGGGTCCATCACAAAAGTTGACGCGGGTCTTCAAACATAAAAGTCCATCGTTGTTAATTGCCGTGGGGTGTGTATTATAGTTTGCCAATAGACGGTTTTGTTCTTGTCGTATGATGAAAATACGTGCTGCTCTATAATCGTCGACGGTCATAGGTCCCTGACGTGAAACTTTAGACGTTCCTATGTTGAGGGCATTTGGTCGATGACGTCCCATGAAGCGGATGACCCAAATTACCACTCGAAGAAGAGTGAAGATTGAGCTAAATCGCCCAGGGTCTATTGTCGGCGGCTCTGGTTCTTTAGTCGAGAAGGTTGTCGTGTCGATTTTGTCGGTAGGGTTATTGTCGTCCGTTTGCTTGTCGATGTTGAACGATAGTTCGTCGGGCCACTCGTCTGACGGTCGAACAATCCATTCAGGGCCATTCCACCAAAGAGTTGACTTTTGAAGTTCCATAGGCGTTGAACCTCTTGTCGCGATGTCGGCGGAATTCTGTTCAGTCCTGACGAAATGAAAAGTTCCTCTTGCTCCGTTTCGAATTTCTGCTAGCCGTCGTTGCTCAAATTGCGGTTTCGGTTCGACGGATTGGATCCATGCCAAGACAATACGAGAGTCCAACCAAAAATGGACGGCACTGATTGGTCGATGAAGTTCGGTTTCGACGTGTATCTTTGCCCGGACGGCTATGAGCGCACCAAGTAGTTCCATTCTTGGGATGGTGAGGCTTGACTTGGCTTTCTTTGGTCGCAGACGATTTCTGGCGAAAATAAGTGTCGCTTTGACGTTTGGACCATTTGACGATCTTAGATAGACGCAGGCGGCATAGGCATTTTCGGATGCATCACTGAACACATGTAGTTGCCACTCTGTTGGGTTGTCTACAATTGCTTGTCGTTGAAGAGTGATGATTTGGTCGTTCCAGGATTGCTTGATGTTCTGCCATTCGATAGTTTCTTCGGTGTTTATCGGCGTATCCCATGTTCTTTCGTTGTCCCATAGTCGTTGGAAGAACAATTTGACTTGAAGGAGACATGGGTTGATAAGTCCCAATGGGTCGTATATGCTGGCCAATGCACTAAGTACTGTTCGACGAGTGATGATGTTGACGTCTTCCTTAGGAAATTTGAGGGCGATTGAATCGTCGTCGGTGTTCCATTTGATGCCCAAGACTTGAGCCTTTGCTTTGACGAGTCGGTCTTCTTCTGGTATTTGTTCCATGATTGTTCGTCGGTGGCTGAGAAATTCTCGAAGATTCATCGCTGCCTTCTTGAATATTTCTTTAGCCGTTCTCATCTTGTCGAGGGCCTCTTCTTCCGTTGAACATTGAAATAGAATGTTGTCGACGTACGTATTCTTCGCCATTTCTCTCGATAATTCGTTGTCGAATTTGGCGTAGTGGTGTAATAACACTGCTGCTAATACGAAAGGTGATGAGATCACACCAAATACCATTTTTGTGTAGCGTTTGACGACTAAATTGTCCGTGGTTATTGGCTTGTTGACGTCGCGCAGCCAAAGAATTTTGCAAAATTGTCGATCTTCCGGAAGCATTTCGATTGTGTGGAAAGCGGCTTGAACATCCGATAGAATTGGAATAAGGCATGTTCTCCAACGTATAAGCATTCCGACGAGTGTTGGTAGTAGAACAGGTCCTCGGTACAACGCTTGGTTAAGACTTGCTGCTCCATTGGGATGAGCACTTGCATCTAATACGATTCTCAGCTTCTTTGGATTGATGACGGCGTGGTGGGGCATAAAGAATTCTTCTTTGTCGCGGCCGGTCTCTTCTATTATTCCTTTCTCCTCTTGGTCGCGCAGATTTTTGTCGTATTTGGCGAGAAGTTCAGGCGATTGAGTTAGGCGTTTGATGTTGGCTTGAAGGCGGCTATAGGCCATATTCCAATTGGAGTTGATAGTCGGTCGAGGTTCTCTCCAAGGTAGACGAACAGTATAAGTGCCATTAGATTTTTGACGTATTGATTGTTCAAATAGTCGCATGGCTGTGTCGTCGTCTTTCTCAGCCGGGTTCTCTTTGATTCCAATAGTCTCAAGTGCCCAAAAGTTCTCGACGTCATTTTGTCCAATAATGCTTTCTTTGTCGTCGTTAAATGCCATGAAGGTTTTAGGCGAGTTAGTCGAGTTGAAGCACGATTCACCTCCCAAAACATCTCCAAAAACAGTTTGGATTTTGTAAAGCTTGGGGCCAAGCTGTTGAAAGCCGGTGACGAATTTCCAAAATTCTCGGATACCAATTAAAATTGACGGAGTTCCTTTAACTGGTTCGACGTAGTCGTCCTTTCCAATGAATTGAAAAGTTTCCATTGGTGTGGAAATTTCGTCGATGGTGTTAAGCTGCATCGATTCCCAGTCGCCATCTTGACGTTTTAGACGAATTGAGACGAGTGGTGAGTGGACTGTCTTCGGATTTTGATTCGCAAAGGTGTGTATGCGAAGCACTTCTTCTGAAAGTTTTGGCGGTTGAAGGCGATTGACGAGTTCTTTGGCGATGTAACTTGTTTGGCTTCCTGAGTCGAAAAAGACCATTGCTGGTAATCCTTCTCTTGGACCTCCCGAGCACGAGACGTTGATGATAATGGTCATTAAATGAGTTTTGTTGTCATTTTGTCGTGCATTGAGATAAGTCGATGAGTCGGGAGCTTCATTTTCCTCTTCTTTAACTTCTTCAGGCTCCCTTAATTCTTCTTGAACTTCGTTTACTATTTGTTTAACTTCTTTGACTTCTCTTTCCGTGTCTTTTGTCTCTTTAGTCGAACTCATTGTCGTCGTAGCACGCTGATTGTTGAGCGTCGTAGCATTTCCACCTGTTTTCTTTGGCATTGGTCGTTCATTTCGACGTGGTGGTGTTTGTCGTCGAGACGTCCGTGAAGATGTCTGTTGAAATGATCTTGCCGGTGGTGTTGGCGACTGAACATTTGACGATTGCACAGCTAGACGTGGTGCATATGAAACGGCCTGAGGTGTCTGATAGTCGATTGTTGCCTGCCGTGGTGCACACAAAATGAAATGATGGTCAGTGCTTCCACACTTCTGGCATTTGAATGAACGTTGACATTGTTCGGTCGTATGGCTTTGCTGCAGGCATTTCAAACATCGGCCTTGCTCCAATAGACGAGTTTTGCGTTCTTGAGGTGTTGAATAAGTCGAGCACTGGCTTGGTTTGTGACCATTATTGCAACACAGCGAACAGAATGGTTCATTGCTTCTCCCATTGTTGTTTGCATTAAATACAGGAAATGCTCTTGTTTGTTCAATTGGACGTGGTGCTGGTCGTATTTCTTGACGTGTTGGTCGTATTTCAAATCTTTCTCTTCTATAAGCTTCAGAATTATTTTGCTCTCGGGGTTGATCTCTTCTTGGTTCATCTTTAAATGCTGTCAAACATTCTTCCGTCGATTGTCGTATTTTGACGATGTCTGCTAAGGCATTGCGAAGGTCCTTATCATCCCATTTTCTTTTAGAATGCAGTTCCTCTGTGATGAGCTGTTGAAGAATTGCTTGTGGTAGTTTTGATTTGATAATGTTGCAGACGAAACGTTGTTTTGGGCCTCCTAGGCTTTCAAGCTGCAAACAGATTCTTTCCACTTCCTTTTGAAATTGGGATAATTCTCGAAGGTTGTTTCGGATTGGCTGTAGTTTTAAGAGTTGTGCTTCTAATTGGTCGCTGAGTTGGTCGTCGTTTCCATATTTATCTTTCAAAATTTCTTTGACGATTGGGTAATTGGTATCTGATGGTGGGTATCCAATGATAGCTTCACGAGCTGCCGATCCTTCTCTAAGATTTTGCAAGAGCAAGAGGTGTTTCTGGAAGAGAGGGTATGGTTGTCGATCGACGGCATGTTCGAATGCTGCCCAAAATGTACGCCACTCTCTGATGTCGCCTCCAAACGTAGGTAGACGCACACTGTCGACTTTAAGTGCGTTCAATGATGACATGGTCGTTTGTGACGGTTCCTGACGAATTCTTAATTCTGGTTCGTAAGTATCTCTGTCGTTTTGTCGTACGTTTCGTCGCTGTCGTGTCCATTCTCGTTCTTCTTCGTCGTCCGAATATAACTGACGTCTTTCTTGGTTTGGCCGAATAATATGTGTCTGTTGCGATTCGTTGAGGTTGATTGATCCCTGCGCACTTGGTGAATTATTACTGTTGCTTTCTGTCATTTGACGCATGACTCGATAAGCCTTTAGACGGTTGATTGCCTCTTCTGCCCGGTTGACCAAACTGGTGATTGGCCAATGATGTTGGATCTCATTTCGGTCTGATTTCTCGTCGTCAGTCAAATAATTGACCAAAAAATTTTCTTCTTCATCTTGCTTCGCTTCGCTTAAACCTTCCATATACTGGTGATAGTGACGAATAACTGATTGGAGCTTCTCGGTCCTCTGAGATAGATGTACGAGTTCCATCTCAACTTCGATTAGGAGTTCCCGTTCCTCCTCTTCCGTGGGTGTCGATTTGATTTTGTCGATATACGAATCGGCATTCTTTAGACGTTCTACGAGTGACGTCACCGCTACACCGAGCTCTTGACGAAGTATTCGTGACATGTTGAAAGGTTAAGTGTCGTTAATACGTTGACGGAAGAAAAAATTAAACCAATTGACGAATTAAACCAATAGACGAATTTAAGATTTAGACGAGTTAAATAGACGATGCTGCCGAAGATAGACGATGTTGACTGATGAATGTCGACGGCAGCTCCCGGGTCGTGGCACCAATTTTAACGGCAAACTTCTCAGGTCGGGAATCCACTGACGAGGGATCAGAGAAATTTAGCCGCTAAAATAAGAAGTTGGGGTAAAGGGTGTTGATGAGGTATGTCTTAATCCCAAAGATTAAGACAGGGCAAACCAAACGAGGAGGCAAAGGGTTTTAGACGGCCAAGTTTAGACGTAGACGAAAGTTAGGCGAATATTCTCAAAGAATACCAAACAAAAGAACAAGAATATTTTAATAATATTTATTTAATTAATATAAATTTACAATTATTTGTGTGTATGGAAAAGGTGGTTGGAATTGGTAACGATAAGGAATAGGATTGAAAAAAGCTATACTGAATGAACGAATGTTAGTGTAAGGGGAAAAAATTGGCTTAAATAGAACATTTTTTGTGTGTGGTAAAAAATGTGGGGCAATGGCAAAAATAGAAAACATAGAAAAAATTATATGTTTTTTAATAAAGTTGGGCGGAAATGCACTTTTTCCCTTTTTTCCCTGTTGGATAAAATTATTAATAATTTTTTAGATTGGAATTTAAGATAAAATGGATAATTTTATCCATTTATGGAAAAAGGAGAGAAAGAGCGAAATAGGCAATAGCGATCACTAAAAAGTGATGTCATACAAAATAGGAAAGGAAAAATTAATAATTTAATTAAATTTCCTCCTTTGACGAAAATTCCAAGAAATTTTCGACACATTGTTCGTCTAATGTACCAATAGTTGATGGCCATGAGTAAGGATATGTTATAGGGACTGGGCCATTAGGGCGCGGGGCCATTAGGGCGCGAGCTTATAAAACAGTGAATTGATTATCAAAAAAGATAAAATTTTGCAATAATAACTCTCATGCCTTTATCTACGTTTTCCAAAAATTTCAGCATTTTTGATCAAGAATTTCGGAAATTGTGGCCAAAAATGTTGATTTTCCGAAAAAACCCTAATTTTTCGCGGTCTATCGACTATAACTTCAGAAATATTCTATGAAAAATTCTGAAATTTCTGGAGGAGGTAGTCAATGATGTCAAAGAAATTTAAGAAAATTTTCATAAATTTCGGTTTCGCCTAAGTGTCAGTTTCTAGTGCTGGCGCCCTAATGGCCCCGCGCCTTTATGACCCCAACCCTATGTTATACTATGTAATCCACACACCCAATTTCCATTAAAGTGAATAGGCTTTGGTAATTGAACACGAAACTTATTTGGTTTATTTATGGAATAATTAGGGACATTACTAGGTAAATGAATAAAAAATGTATTTGACATTTTTATTTAAAATTAAAAAATTTTTTAAAAAGATTAAAATGAATGATTTTTATACTAATTGTGATTCATGAATCCATTGTGTTTCAGGATATCCAATGAATTTTACTAAAAGTTTAGTAGTTCCATCATCACTCTTTCTCTTACGTAATATCTTCTCAATACGGTATTCAGTATTGTCATCCCTCCTTACTTTTGCCAGCTCCTCTTTATAGAAAGAACCTTTGAATTTGTCACCTTTATCATCTTTTATTTTATATGTAATAGGGGATAGAGTAGTCTTCACATCATCAACTTGTAATATTTCATCTCCCCAGTTTGGTAAATAACCTTTCTCGAAATTACCTTTCTCTCTACTTAGTCGAATATAATCACCCTTAGTAAATTTTGATTTAACATTTTTGATCTTTGAAAAAATATTCCCATAAATCTTTTTCCACACATTTTGAGCATTTGCGAAATTTACATCAATTGGACGCATTCCATGTACTCTGGATACTGAATGATTTATTCCGTCTACAATCTTTTCGAGGACATCTATCCATTTTAATGTCTTTTTCTGCGCGAAATATCTATATAAACGTTGCTTAATATTTCTAATTGATCTCTCAGCTATAGAAGCTTTTACTGTAGTATGATTTGCTTCAAGCTTTTGAATATCCTCCTTCGCAAAAAATTCCTTTAATTGATTATTTTTAAATTCTGTACCCTTATCAGAAAAAATTCTATGTGGTTTCATAGGCATTTTATTAATCAAATCCTGGAATGCTTTTACCATTTCTTCTCCTTTCTTAGTTTTTAGAGGTACTGTAAATAGACGTTTTGATAATACATCAATTCCCACCAGAATATATCGATTTCCCTTATTGTGTTTCGAAAGCGCTTGCATATCGGCCAAATCAACTTGTAGATCAGTCATGAAACCAGCTGCTATTGTTTTACTTCTAGGGAAACGAATCCTTTTAGGACGCATGAGGGTATAGGTACGGTGCCCTTCTAAATAATTTTCAATCACATGCCTTGGAATATTTTTGTATGTTTTCTTTGCTTCTCTCCATAAACTATCAACACCTGCATATGCTGAAGGGTTTTCTGGGTCATTATAAAGTTTTTCAAGTAGTTTTTTAGGATCCGCCATAAGTAATATTACCAGAGCCCTGGTTTAAATCTATTAATATCTGACTGTGTTGGTTTTCTCTGTGCCCAGATCTTTCGTTGAATATTGATTTTTGATGGTTTCCTTTGTGCCCAATTATTAATAATTTTAATTTTTCGCTTTTTTAGTGGAATTTCCGGATATCCTTCTTCTGTATACTGTAATTTTCTTTTTTCAATTCTTCTTTTTACCTCTGGTATTTCTTCAGAATTTTCTCTCTTAATTATTTGACTTTTAACTTCATCCCTTGTTTCTTCAGGTTGTGAAACAAACGGAGCGTTTATCGATTCGTTGACCAGCTCACTTTTTATTGATCTATTAACGAGATCGCTAGGCATATACGGTACTCTTAATTTTTTAATGTCTTCCCTTCTTATTAAGTGTTGTCTTTTCTTTTCTTTCCTCTCTCTAATACTTTCTAAGTATTTATTATCTTCTCTCTCTTCCTTTAGTTTATTTTTTAATTTTCTAGTATTCCTTTTCTCAATCTCTTCCTTATTTTCATCATCATTTTCATCGCCTTTAGGTTTTATTAATTTTTTATTTTCCGGGACATCATCATCATCTCTTCTTCTTTTGGGATTTCGATTGAAGATTAAGGGTGTCTTTTCTTTCTTGACCTTATTACGAGGTGGAACAGGTGGTGGTTGTGGGGATGGTGGCTTAATTTTAATATTTCGTCCATGAGATGGGATAGGAGGTGGTGGTGGTGACGGTGACGAAATTACTGAGGAATATTTAGGTTGTTGCTTTATAAACGAAAAATCATCACCCATCCAAAAGTCATTATCATCATCGTTTCCAAAATCATCATCTCCCGTAGTTATATATGTTGCTGGTCGAGAATTAGTTTTGGGTAAAAGAACACCTTTAGGTTTGTCAACTACTTCAACTCTAATTGGTTTATTTTCTCTTTCATTTCGCATATTGAGATATCTCCTCAATTCTTGATTGTAATTCACATTTTTGACATCTTTGCTTTCCCTTCTTCTCCTAGTATTGTCTAATGCAAGTTTAATTGAATCTAGATTTGGTTCGCCTGTTGACATAATTGTTGATGTAAGACCTCTATATAAGTCCTCTGGGACAAGGATAAGTTTATTGGCCATAAATATTTTGTTATATTTCACTTAGTATATATCGCCCTGCCTCTATAATTATAGGTGTCAATAGAGCTGCGAATAATGAGCCCACTCCACTGCCTTTTTGTATTAAAATTTTACGAGCACCTCGTTCACTTCTTGTTCGACTTAATTTACGAACAAAATCTGCGTGAGGTATTAAACGTTTCTTCTGGCGAGTTGTTAGATTGAAACGTGATTTCACTATGTTAATACAAATCTCCGCTATAGAAAGTAATTGTTCTCTTGTCGCCTTTTTTAATAATTTTTTCTTTTTTCTTTCTGAATTAGTATAAGCTAAAGTTTTTAAAAATTTTATATTCTCTTTAACAAGTTGACTAATTTTTGAATTATTATGTTCCATTTTTTGGAATGAAAATTAATTTTTCGTTGTCATCTGTAAATATGTTTGACCTTAACCTTAATATAGGATCTGAGGAGGCATGCATATCGATTAGTAAATATCCATAAGGTTCATTTGTCGCCTGCCTATACGCATCCAAGAAAAAATCCAATTTTCGTGGGAAGAGTTGTGTTCCTATGTTTCTGACACTTAAGGCTGAATTTGGTGATCTCATAAGTATAAGATATTGTGCATTTTGTCTGGCTACTTTTATCTTCTTTTCAAATAAATTTTGTGTAACAAAAATAATTGCGAAATTTTGATGATGTGATTTTTTAGTGAATAACTCAGATAGATATTTCTCATCGATTGTAAGTAATAAATCATCTAAAATCAATAATAATGGCTTAGGATAACGCTTTAACATTTCCTCATTTGGGACACCTCCATATACATTAACTCCTGATCGTTGAAGCACTGGAACAATTGAACTCATTTCACCATAACAATAGAGTATACTATTAGGTTTAGGGTCAATTAACTCAAAGGCCTGAGAAATTAGCCTGATAAGGAATGTACTTTTACCAGAAGAACTAGGCCCGGAGATGATCATTCCAAATGGTAATTTAAATTTTAAACTTTTATTCAAAATTGTATTATTATTTAACATTTTTATTGCTTGAAACTATTTAAATATTAAACTGAATTCTGATTTACAATATCTGTGAATTTTTGAGTATTAGGATCAGTCGTATCATTATAAAATGATTCATTAATTTTTTCTTCATTACTAACACTTCGTTTTACGACATTCTTTTCATTAGCAATCGATTTGAAAAAATCATCCAATTCTTCCTCTACTGTTTTTATTGTTTCAGTCTTTTCTTGAGTTGTCTTTACTATCTCGTTATTATTTTCTACATCCATGGTAGTTTTTAATTCATGCTCTATTTTTAATCCTGAATCTTTCTCTTGTTCGGTTTTATCTGGATAACTTGACAAAGGTTGAATAATAGATTTCTTTTGTTCAACACTGTCCCGATCATTAAATGGAATATTGAGTACACGACCTTTGTTTTTGATCTAAATATCATATTAATTTAATATTTAAATTTAACAAACCCTAAAGAAACAATGACCAGGCATATCATAAATTGAATCAAAGGGGACGAATCGGTTCCCTTTGATCCGATTACAGTATACTGTCACTCCTTCCTTTGTTACAACAAAATCAATTTCCACTTCAATAGATTTCACTCTCTACAACGTCCACACTGATCGAATGGAAGAAAACGTGGAGTGCTAAGTCTAGATTTTGCTTGAAGTGTGATTCCGTTAGTATTGACATTGAATTCAATTTCTGGAATTATTATTTCGGAAATATATCGTTTATCACTCATATTAATAGCCATTTTGTATAAGTTTATAGAGTGCTAAATTATTTATGAATGATTACTCAAATTTCGTGGATTTCATTTACGAGAGATAATTAAATTAAAGCCCCGCCCACTTAAAAAATTTAGTATAAAATAAGAAGGTCAAGCGAGCAAAGACCGTTAGAAATACAGCGAGATTTCCCTTTCAACTTACCGCCAACCCCTTTCTCTCACTTTGACAACCCAATCAAACCCTCTTATGGGCAATAACTAGTTACTTTCAGGTATTCCATAGGCTCTACTTAATTACCCTCGGACGCCTCCCTCTCTCAACCAAATCAATACATTTCACTTTCATTGAGTAAGGGTTATATTTTTTACTATGATAATTATTATGTAATTATTAATAATTGTCCTTCTATTAGAGAGGGGTCATTAGGATATGAATCTCCTTTTAAACAACCTGCCAAAATAATTTAATTAGTTACAATAATTGGTATATAATTATTAATTATGGTTCTTTTATTAGAGAGGGTCATTAGGCAGGGGGTTATTGTTCATTAAACAAGGGGATAATTGTTCTCGGACCCCTTTAATTCAACCCATTTAATTAACTAATAATTTTTAATTTATTAAAAATTACTTTTTAATTTGCTAAATTAATAATTACTTTTTAATTATTTAATTAATAATTACTTTTTAATTATTTAATTAATAATTATTATTTAATTATTATTTATCCTTCCCTCTCATTCAACCATTTAATTAATTAATAATTAGTTTTTAACTAGTTAATAATTATTATTTAATTATTATTAATTACCCTTCCCCTCTGAATAAATACATTTAATTAATAATTACTTTTTTAATTAATTATTATTTAATTATTAATTACCCTTCCCCTCCCATTCAACCACTTAATAATTAATTAATTTTTAATTATTAATTAGGGGTTTCTATTAGAGAGGGGTTACCTTATACCCTTTCAAGTGCCGCCGACCCCTTCCGTAGGTTTAGGCTTCCCAGTCAAACCCTTCCATAGGCACTAGTTAATTGACAGCGGACCCCTCCACACCCCACTCATTCAAAAGGTTTGTCCACTCAAACCCTCCCATACCCACAGGTTAATTACCCGCGGACCCCTTCCCACCCCACTCACTCAATAGATTGATCAACCAAACCCTCCTTTAGGCACAGGCTATCCTCTCTCGGACCCCTCCCCCACAACCCACTCAGTACCTTTGAGTTTAGTGCGGGAAATTTTACCGCACTCCCGCGACGGTGCCTGTGTTTCTACTACTTCTGCTCCCAAACACGGTTCTGAAAATTAGTTTCCTGGAATGGTAAAATTTCGGTATACGACACAGACGCCGATTAAGTCGAATGATATGTCATTCGAAAGAGCTCGTCGAGTTGAGTCGAATGGTGAAAAAATTTTCGCGCGGACTCATAGAGGGGCTGAGATATAAGCCCCCGAAAATCGAAAAACCAAAGGGGGGACCAAGCACTTTTTTGGGGTGAAAAATTCGAAAATGCAAATTATACCTCATTCGAAAGAGCTCGTCGAGCTGAGTCGAATGACACCAAAATCAACGAAATCCGACTTGATTGGACAAAGTTATGATCTTTTATTTTAGCTCCTTACCTATGGCGTCTGAGGAGATTTTTGCTGCTACGGAGGCCCCAAATACGTTCAGAGCAAGGGAGATAGGCATAGGTTTTTGTTACGAGCCCAGACCCAGCGCCCGTAGACTCCCCGCGAGGCGCGTGCCGCAAAACCCCGCGCGAAGCGCGGGGTTTTGCACAAGCGCCTCGCCAACGCCCCATAGGTTTAGGTTTTAGTTTTTCTATCGTAACTTTGTCCAAACTTGTACAATCACGATGATTTTGGTGTCATTCGACTCAGCTCGAGGAGCTCTTTCGAATGAGCTATTATTTGCATATTCGAATTTTGGTAAAATTCCGTCATATGTCCCGGAAACTGATTCGGACAAATGATATGACATTCGAAAGAGCTCAACGAGCTGAGTCGAACGACACCAAAATTAGCTGGGGGACTCACCTATGGGCCGAGATATAGGTCCCCGAAAATCGAAAAACCATAGGGGGGAGTAAGCACTTTTTTGGGGTAAAAAATTCGAATATGCAAATAATAGCTTATTCGAAAGAGCTCGTCGAGCTGAGTCGAATGACATCAAAATCAACGAAATCCGACTTGATTTGACAAAGTTATGAGCATTTGTTTTAGCTCCTTACCTATGGGATCTGTGAGATTTTTGTTGCTACGGAGGCCCCAAATACGGCCAAAGCAAGGGAGATAGGAATAGGTTTATGTTACAAGCCCAGACCCAGCGCCCGTAGACTCCCCGCGAGGCGCGTGCCGCAAAACCCCGCGCGAAGCGCGGGGTTTTGCACAAGCGCCTCGCCAATGCCCCATAGGTTTAGGTTTTTTTGTTTTTTGTGTCATAACTTTGTGAAACCTTGTTCAATCACGGTGATTTTGGTGTCATTCGACTCAGCTCGTCAAGCTCTTTCGAATGAGTTATCATTCAAAATATCGAATTTTTCACCCCAAAATTGAGCTTACTCCCCCCTATGGTTTTTCGATTTTTGGGGACCTATATCTCGGCCCATAGGTGAGTCCCCCAGCTAATTTTAATGTCGTTCGACTCAGCTCGTTGAGCTCTTTCGAATGACATATCATTTGTCCGAATCGGTTTCCGGGACATATGACGGAATTTTTCCCGAATTTTTACCCCAAAAAAGTGCTTGGTCCCCCCTTTGGTTTTTCGATTTTCGGGGGCCTATATCTCAGCCCCTGTATGAGTCCGCACGAAAATTTTTTCACCATTCGACTCAACTCGACGAGCTCTTTCGAATGACATATCACTCGACCTAATCGACGTCTGTGTCGCATACCGAAATTTTTCCCCTGGAATTTTTTTGTCAGAAGAGGGAAAACGGAGGATGATCCAATAGGAGGATCCAATACTTGTTAAACTGTAAGTTCTGCAAATATATGAAATTTTTATATAAGCTCTAAGGGGTTAAAATATTTTTTAAAGTACTGTACCCCATTTTCCCGTTGATTTTCGAGATTTGATATCTTAAAGACTACGTTCCTTTTATTTTCTATTTAATATCAAAGAAAATGTCCACGGAGTAGCGATAATCTTATTTTTTTGGCATGAATCTAAAAAGTTTTAGATGGAAAAAAATTTGTCCATAAACATATGACGCGTTGAAAAAAGGGGTTGAGAGATTTAGTACGGGTTTTATTTATGATAATGATGGCGGATTCTAATGAAACTAAGGTATTTTATAGCAAAAGAACTGAGTATCTGGACAACCGTTTTTTATTGCCGATTGATTCATATTTAGTTTTGTTGTGAGGGATCACCACTGTATTTGTTTTTCAAATATTGTATTAGATTTTTTTGGCATTAATCTTTTCATCTGCCGGGATTTTAGTTTAGTTGTGATCTCGGACGTCAGCACTAATTTAGAGTGCAAAACAAAAGGAAGAAAATAAAACAAAATGCCCAACAGGGTTTTTAAAAATTAATTTTAATTAAAAATTTAAAAAATCAATTTTTAAAATTTAAAAAAGGTCATAGTCAGTCTTAATTAATCAATTAAATTAATAAGGAAGTTATTATTATAATGCCATGAGTGATTTTGGTTAACGATTGCCATTATAAGCCATTATTAAAAGCGCTTTCAATCGTTAAGCTACGCTTACAAACGAAACGCGCGCGTCTTCCGGGGAAAAGATTTTAGGAAATGAGGAGAGAAAACACTAGCTTACTTAAACTGCGTCTTGCGTCTTTATTTAAGCGTAACGTAATAATGCGATCGATGCCTATCTATTTATTAAATCCCTCCCCAAAAAAGGCCATATATAAGGGGAGAATATTAACAACAATTACAAACACTTACAAACACTTACAAACAATTACGAACTTCCCCCTTAACAAACCTAATTTTAAAATTACTTGAATATTACTAGAAGCTACCCAAGCGATACTTTTTATTACCGCATTATTAGTAGAAAACAATAAAGGGATGGATAGATATTGAAAAGAATATTTAATTCCTAAGGCTGACAGTAGGCGGCATGGTGTAATGGATAACACATTAGTCCGGTCTACTGAAGATGCACCCAGCCGCCGAATAACTCAGCTCAGCAGCACATCCAAATACATTTTTTCTTGTTTAAAAGAATGCGAAATGACACAGAACCATTATAAAAGGATAAAAATGGGAAGACATTTTTTGAAGATAAAAAATTCACCGGGCTCGAAATGGTCAAAAATCATAGGGGCGATTATGGGTCAAAAATTCGATTATACAAATGATAGCTCATTCGAAAGAGCTCGTCGATCTGAGTCGAATGACACCAAAATAAACGAAATCTGACTTGATTTGACAAAGTTATGACTGTTTGTTTTAACCCCTCACATAAGGTTTTCGCGGAAAAAAAGTTTTTGCCGCTGCGGAGGAAGCCGGGCCTTTATTCAAGCCTTTATTTGAATATAATTTAACATTTCAAAAATTGTGAATGAAAGGACCATATTTAAAAACCCTTTATTCTTAATTAATCTCTTTTGGAATAATTAGTGAAAATTAATTAAGTTTAGATTTTAAACAAAAAAATATTTTTTAAAAATCCTTCCCATAAAAATGAATTATTTTTCAATTTTTTTGTTCTTCATTTCATTTTATTTTGTTTATTCTTCTGGAGGTGAATGGAATTCGGATAACGTTAATGAAATAATGAGACAATATTATGAGCAAGGAAAACAGCAAGGACAAGAACAATGTTAATATAATAATTTAATCAAAATTTTAATTTCCCTCAAAACAAGTGAATTATTGTGGTAAAACCTGGACCGAGTTAAGATCTCGAACAAGAATATCAGTTATCGAAATCGAGTTTTATCGAGATATCCCCCATATGATAAACACAACCAATTGCCGCTTGTTATGATAGCTTTATATTCTTGTTCACTCCAATCTCTTTCAAAAACTACCAAAATCTTATATTAATTTTTAAATTAAAAAAATTTTAATTTACAGTTGGTTATTTATTTAATCAGAATACTAACTATTATGGTACGTGTAAACATTAAATTTTAAAACTTCTAAATAAACTAGATATGTAGGTCGCCCGCTTTCTATATGACCGCAAAAGGGTTCCGTGACTTGAAAGGGTTCCGTGTCCGTGAACATTTGCGCCGCGAAATATTGTACTTCCTGAAATTCCTTCAGCTCCTGTATACCATTTTTTAAGGAGTACATTATAATTAGGTCCGACTGTAGATATTATCTTTTTTAAATTATGGCAGCGCAAATGTCGCGGCACAAAAGTCGTGATACTCGCAAAAGGCATTTCTGCAGCAATCATTTTTTGACAGCCTGTCAACCTAGGGAGGAGAAAACATATACATATACATACATAGCTAGCTAGACTTCAAGTAATCGGTTAAACGCCCACAAACTGGCTATAACTTTTTTGAAAGTGATACAATTCAAATATATCTTATATCATTCGAAAGCCCTAGATAAGCGGCACCTTTTTTCTATAGGATAGATCAAGTCTGATCACTCATTCAAAAGTTATAACACAATAAGTCCGGTCATTTAGTGTTTTTCACACCTTTTAACGAGTGATCAGACTTAATCCATTAAGTTGGAAAAAGATCCCTCTTATCGAGGGTTTTCGATAAGATTTACTTGAATTGGTAAGTATCAAAAAGTTAAAGCGATCAAATTTGGCTGGCACCCGGTTTGTGGGCGTTTAATCGATAAATACCAAAATGGTAAACTCTTCAACATTAATTTTAAAAATTCAATTGATTTAAAAAATTTTATAAATTTAAACTTTACAGAAGGAATGGAAAAACATCATTTAAACAATGGTAAATTTGAAGGGAGTAATTATCAAAAGACTTCTGAAAGGAAGAAAACACGAAAAGCTATGAATTTGAATTTGAACGAACCGGCTCCACAATATGGCGAAGCATCCAATCCCGGTTTTACTCATTCAAACGCCGGAGGATTCCAAAGTTGGGCACCGCCGAATTCGACTCATGGGCATTCATCCAATCCACGTTTTAATCACTCAAACACTGGGGGATTCCAGCAGTGGGCACGTCAGGATTCGACTTATGAACAGCCATCTCAACCAAGTTTTAATCATTCAAAAAAGAAAGGGGCATTCAAGAAATGGATAAAAGGGCGAAAGTAAATAATTGAAGCTGTTATTTTTTGTGGTTCGTATTAGGGTTGTTCACTATCGGGTACTAACTGACAACTACGATTTTCGGTTAATTCAAATTTTAAAGCACCTGTTTTCTGCTTTGTGTTTTAGTTTAATACCGGGTTTATTTTGAAGGAATTTATAGGGAATCACGAATTTTCAAAAATTTTTGGTTTTTAAGATTTCATAAAGACGGTCTAATTTGGTGGAAAGAAATATCAAAAATTTTAGGTTTTCAAATCTGAACAACCCTACTTTGTATTTAAAAGTGAAGGGGTATTTTAATTCGAGGGTATCGCTTATGCAGACCCCTTACCAAGTGTCCAATTAATTTTTATTTATTTTTTATGTCCCAATTCACCCTTTAGATTAGAGATCGGAGACGATACAATATATCATTTAAAAATATCTTTTATCGATACCGACTATATCGAAAGGTTTTTCGATACCAATTTCGATATTTTTTTTCGGAATTGGAACTTTTTGCCGACCGGGACCTGATCCACCATGACAATAAATGATAAGAATATCGTTTATAGATCTCTAATACCTCAGATGAACAACAGGTTTTTGCACAATTTTTTTGTTTACAATGCTCTAACTTTTTTAGAAGAATTTTTTGAAAGGAAATTTAAAATTTTTTGATTGTTTTGTTTTGGGAGCTTGTAAAATTTTTTTGTTGTGCACTAACCTTTCTCCTTTTTATTTAATTCACCCCTCCCTCCCTATTATTTAAAGTTATAGGGGAATTATCCCCCACCGCCTTCCATATTTTAAAATTCCTCTGTTTATTTACATGTTTTTGTGGACATTTTATTTATTTTGGTATTTTTAAATTTGTATAAACTTTTATTGGGTAAATTTGTTTTTATTAGACATCAAAAATTGTTTTATAAACAGCCGCAAAAATTTTTTGGTAGATTTTAATTAATTTTAATTACAACTCAATTTAATAAATTATTAGACTTACCGTATTTTCTCGATTAATTTCCCTGGGGAATTATTTTTTCCACCCTTCCTTGGCATGGGGAATTAATCGAGGTAGGGGAATTATTCGGTTTTTGGCATTTGAACGTGCAGTAGGGTATTTGGGGTGGGGAATTAATATTTCAACCCATCCCTGACAGGGGGAATTAATCAAGAGGGTGGCAATTATTCGAGGGAGGGGGAGAGGGGGAATTAATCGAAAAAATACGGTATATCCTTTACCGGATAAGTTGTTAGGATAACCGGTGAAACACCTTTAGATATATCTTCTTTTATTCCTTTTTTTGTTTGTTTATTCAAAAGCTATTTTGAAACTATTGAGCGTCTCATTAAAGAAATTTATTTTTCAAATGTCTTGCTTAAGCAACGTATATTTTGCATCGATTCCTTGCCAAATATTAGACTTGCTTCTCCTTTAATATTTTTATTTATATTTAAAAATATTTTTTTGCAATAAAAAATTAAAAAAAAAATTTTTTTAAAGAAATGTTAAGAAATTTAATAAAAATTAATTTATTATTTTTAATTATTATAACCAAAAATTATGGAATGCACCCGGGAAAGGATACTATCGAGTATTTCTTGCAGGAAAGTGGGGCTTTGAACTCGCCAAATCAACAGGTATCTATATAAAACAAAATATAAAGATTGTTTGGGGTATTTAATCCTGTTATGCCCTCTAAGTCGAGGTCTAACATAGGACTTACAAAAATACATAGAATACAAGAACTTCTCTCTACCAAAAGTCACAATAGGTAGGAATAATGAAGGATATACAGCGACGGTCGGTCTGATCACGACTGATCTTTAAGGACTGATTTTAGATTAGACACCCTAGCTATTATATTGATGGTGTGGAAAAGTTTATTGGATGGTGGAAGGAATAGAACCACCATGGAACTAGCACAGACCGAAGCACAACCGAAGTACAAGTTCCACCATCCAACCCGATGATGGCCTATTTTTATTCCTTCAGATCTTTCTGTAAATTCGGAAAAATTTGTTTAGGGTATTTAATCCGTTATGTCCTAAGGTCCGGACAAATCCCAAAATGTTCAAAAAATTATAATTAAATCCCCTCACATATTTAGCAACTACAAAACAACCCTAATGCCGGTATATTCAATTCTTCAAACACCCCAATTCAAGCAAATCCTCCTCAACATCTGTACTACAATCAACACCCTTCTCATCAAAATATTCTCCACCCTCCTCAATTTACTAATTCAAATTTTCATCAACACCCAAATATGTTTTCTACACATCATTACCCTTACCCCCCTCATTACCATCCTTTATATTACCCAAACAACCAACCATTCTTTCCAACCTATCCAAACAATATTATTAATTTTGGTGATTCTTCGCATTCTGACACAATGCTAAATTTTCGAGAAAACTTTCCAATAAATGAGGGTTTTCAACATTTTTACCATCCAAATTTGCCTACACCCCAACAAGCAACACCGTCATCTTTTAATATTGAGACTAGTATGTTGAATTATAGAATACTTATAATCTAATCTAATAATAATTCCCGTCTTTTTAAGGATCTCTCGAAGCCTCAAGAGGTATGATCGCCTCGACATCTGACAATTTGGCACCGTCACACAATTATTTGAACCAAGAAAAAAATAAAACCAAAAAAAGAAACCCAGTAAAAACCAACGAAGAAAAGATACCCAAGGAGATTTTTAATCATTCAAACGAAGAGGGATTCCAGCCTTGGAGACCACCAAATGAACAACCATCAAATCCAGACATTCAGCATTCACCGGCTCATGAACAACCGTCCAGTTCACACTTTCAATATCCAAACATTAAGGGAATTGATTTGAACGTTAAACTGGATTCCCCATATGAAGAATTAAACGATCCACAGTTACAGCATTCCCCAGAAGATTCAACTCATTCCACCGGCTTCGACTCACAAAATTTGACTCATGGACAACCATCTCGTACAAACATTCAACATTCAAACTCTGAAGGATTCGAGACTTGGACACACGCGGATTCAATTCAGAGGCAATCATCCTCTACACCCTTTCAGCCTTCAAACTTTGGTGCATTTCAAACCTGGAAACAAACTAAATTGCCGGAATCATCCAATCCACCAAACATTGAAGAATTCCAGCCTTCAACTCAGCCGAAAAAACCTCAAGGATTTCGACCTTACAAGAAAAGAGGTTAAATAATGCAAGCTGTGGATACCTGTCTAACTACTGTATTTCCTCTAAAATAAGCCTCGTGTCTTTTTTTCGATCACCCTCAGGAGTGGACTTAGTTTAGAAGGGGATGGGTTACTTTATCAAACGGATATCAATCATCAGATCCCTCGATACCTCCCTAGATCATTTACATCAGTGTTAATCCACCAAATACCCTCTTAAGCACTCCTAATCCATCTATATCCTTCCATTGGGTCTCAACTTAGGATTTGAACAACCTAGTTTTTAGGCTTTATTCTCGACCAAATTTCAAGATAATTAATTTATATTTTGATAAATAGTATTCCTTTAACGACTATAATTTTCTTTTCTGTTGTTAAATAGGTCTAAATCCACAAATCAGGTCCTTATATAAATAAAGGTTTTTTGCACAATTTTTTTTGTTTACAATGCTCTAAGAAATTTCATTTTTCTTAATTTGCTTTTAAAGAAATTTATAATTTTTTATTTTGTATTGAGAGCTTGTAAATTTTTTTGTTGTGCATTACCCTTTCACAATAATTCACCTCACCCTCATTTAAGTTATTTATAAGTAGACTTTCTACCATTTTATTTTCTTTTGTTTTTCTTAAATTTTTTATAAATTTTCGGGTAAATTTGTTTTTATTAAAAATTAAATTTGATTAAATATCTAGGATTTTTCAAAATTCAAAGAAAAAATCTTTTGAGTATTTGGAAACTCGTAATAAAATTTGTACTCACCTGTGTGTACGAGTATGAGGAAAAAAGAAGGCATGTATTATCTTGTTTCTGTTCCCCCTCTTTTCTTTATACTTAACCACTCCCAATGATCAGAAAACTTTGAACGGCCATAACTCGGCCTTAAAATCATTTTTGTAAGAAAACGAAAATCACTTCGCAATAGGAAGCCGGGGGTGTTCTATCGAATGATACCAAAAAATTTATCTAATTCATGGTCACAGTAAACGATGAAAAAAACCCCTAAACTTTCAAATAATTACTAGAAAATAAATTTATTTCCAAAATAAAATATAACAATTTTTTAAATTAATTTTTCTTTAATTTTTAAACAAATCATTTTTGTCTATTCCATTCTTCTCCAGATAATTATCCAACTTTTGTTCAAAATTAAATTCATAGTTAACCCCAAGATTTTTAATTTTCAACATTTTCTCACGTAATTGTTCGGTAAAACGTTTCTGAATTTTATAAAAAAATTTTTTTTTAATTTTAAGAAGGAGGGAATGAATAATTAATTAAAACCCTCTGACCTTTCCAAATTTATTAAAATCAAAAATAAAAATTACCAAACGAACGCGTTCTTGTTTCTCGTTTTTTGGCTCTAAACGTTTCAATGTTTCCTTCAAACCTTTAAAAAATAAAATTTTAAAAATTTTTCGAAAAATAAATTTTTTAGTGAATGACCAGATCAAAAATAGTTTTAGTGGTTATTCAAAAAATTGTTTTTATTGAAATCTATTTTTAGGAGGTTTTTCTAAATTTATAAATAGGGACAGCCAAAATATGCACGGAAAATCGCCAAATATGCGCATATATATGCACCGAAAAAGCCCAAAATATGCACCAAAATATGCAAAATTTGCCAAAATATGCACTGAAATATGCACCAAAAAATAGTTAAAATATGCTTTAAAAATCAATATTTTAAGTTAAAAACACGAAATTAGCCTTTAAAACTGCAATTTAAGATAAATCCTAAAAGATTTTATGGAATTAAGATTTCTGCATAAAAATTTATTGAAAGAAAATTTTTCCGAAAAATTTTTCGAAAAAATTTTTTCATAAAATTTTTATAAAAAAATTTTTTGACCAAAAAATTCCAAAATTTTGAAAATTTTCGCCGATTTTTACTAAAATTTACCAAAAAATGCCGAAATATGGACCAAAATATGCAAAATTTGCCAAAATATGCACAAATATGCAAATATGCACGAAATGGTCGAAATATGCAAATATATGCATTAAGAACCGGGTCCTAAAGTGCTCGGACCTATGTAAAAACACCATTTTTGGGCTTCCCACTTCAAGGCATATCCGCATACAAAACATGCATTTGCATGTTTTGGCTGTCCCTATTTATAAATAAAATACCAACACCTCTCTCCTACCCCGTCCCTCTCCTTCCCCCCTCCCCTCCCTCTACTCAATCCTCATTTCCCCCTTCAATCCCTTCCCTTCCCAATAATTTATATCAAAAATGGAATATTTTTTAAACAACAAAAAAATTCTTTTTTTCCTTACGATTCTCTCCAGGTTCAATAATATTTCCAAATCTCTTTCCACCCCTTATACATTTAGGTATTTTATCTTGATCAACAACAGAACACCTCAACTTCTTTTCTGCCAACAAATAATTATTCATTGATTTTGCAGCTATTTCTGCTACTTTTTCACTTTTGAATTCAACATAGGCAAAGCCTGTATGATGACCCTAGAAAAAATTTTTAAAAATTTTTTTCATTTTTTCTCACTTTTTTGCTCCGAATAACACGAACACGTTTGACATCACCAAATTGACTAAAAATAAATATTAAACTTGTTGCAAGACTTTGTTTTAAACAAAAAACAAACAAGATTCGAACTTTTACCAACATTAAAACAAACTCGAAAACAACATGTTCAGATAAAAGTTTATTTTAAAGTTTGTTTAATTTATTACTGTTTAATGCAAGCTTTATTACTAGGGACAGCCAAAATATGCACGGAAAATTGCCAAATATGCGCATATATATGCACCGAAAAAGCCCAAAATATGCATCAAAATATGCAAAATTTGCCAAAATATGCAGTGAAATATGCACCAAAAAATAGTTAAAATATGCTTTAAAAATCAATATTTTAATTTAAAAACACTAATTTAGCCTTTAATTTTACATTTTATGAACACTTCTAAAGGATTTAATATATTTAAAATTTCTGCAAAAATTTTGGGGAAAAAAATTTTCCCCAAAAAATTTTCGAAAATATTTTTTCAAAAAATTTTTATAAAAAAATTTTTTTGACCAAAAAATTTCAAAATTTTTGTCAATTTTTGGCAAAATTTTACAAAAAATGCCTAAATATGGACCAAAATATGCAAATTTTGCCAAAATATGCACAAATATGCAAATATGCACGAAATGGTCGAAATATGCAAATATATGCATTAAGAACCGGGTCCTAAAGTGCCCGTACTTATGTAAAAACACCATTTTTGGGCTTCCCACTTCAAGGCATATCCGCATACAAAACATGCATTTGCATGTTTTGGCTGTCCCTATTTATTACACTAAAAATGTTTTCAAGTTTGTTTTTGTTTTAAAGTTGCTCTGTTACTCAAAACATATTTTCAAGTTTATATTAAAAGTTGAACATGTTTTATTTAAAGTTGGTTTATTAAAAATAATAAACTTGAAATAAAACATGTTCAGATAAAAGTTTGCTAAACATGTTTATTTCATTCACAAAAACGTGCTTATTAAATTCCCCCCACCTAAAATATCCATTCATTTCCTTCTCAAAAAATCCATACGGAACATTAGACAAACGAATAACATGTTGAATTTTAGATTCTTCATTAAATTGTTGCTTTCCTTCTTTTTCTTTATTTTTTAATTGTTTTTTGACTTTTTGTTTTGTTTCTTCATTCTCTATTTTTAATTTTTTGTTGTCAATTTTTTCATTTTCAATATCGCTATTTAATTCATCATTTAATTCATCTTTTACGCGTTGTCTTTTCCTTGTTTTAATCATCTTTAATTTCTAAAACTTTTTGTTTAAATTAAACTTAAAAACAAAAACAATCAATGCACAACATTCAACCATAACACAAACATTTGTTTCTTCAAAAACTTTAAAATAAACTTGAAAACAACATGTTCAGAAAAAAGTTTATTTTAAAGTTTGTTTGTTTAAAGGATGTTTTTGTTTTAATAAAAACATTGTTATTGCCAGGTTTCCTTTGTTTAATTTAATCCTTCTCTTTGTGTTTCCAAAAACATTTATTCCCAAGTTTTAATTGAAGTTGCTTTAGAATGTTTTATTTAAAGTTGGTTTTTATGTTTCTTAAAATTGTTTTCAAGTTTGTTTTAACGTTGAAAAAGAACAAACAACATTGTGCATTAATTTTAAAAATAAATTAAAAATAATATATTGAGTACAACATAAAAATAAAATAAATTTTTAAATATTTTAAAATATATATTTATAACTTTAAAAAAATATCTATGCAAGAACGGCATAAAATATACTATAAGTGAAATTCATTTAAAAGAGAATTAGATTTTTGGGGGAAAAGATTAATTAATATAAGGCAAAAAATATAATTGATATGCTGCCATTTTTTCTAAAAATAAGGAGCTGAAGTAAAAAATAAGGCTAAATACATTAATTTTGAATACAAAAACAAATAAGGGAAATTAAGATAAAAATATAGATTGGTCGAATCTAGTCTAAAATTTTTACATAATAATTTTGGAGAGATGGAAAGAGGTCATGCACATAAATAAAGAAAAACTTTGCAAAAATTATTTAACTAAAAAATCTAGTCAAAAAATTATATTTCAATTAAACGATTTTAATCAAAAAAATTTTTTTATTTAATTTTACCAATACTTTAAAGGTCGTATTAAAAGTCATATACTCGTATTTTGGCATGAATTAGGAGGCCAGAAATAAAAAGCGTTACGATCAAAATATAAAATTTAAAATACCCATTTTAATATAGATTTAATGCAAGCAAAATTCAGTTTTGTTTTTAAAAGCAAACATAACCTCTTGCCGCTACAAAAAAAAATTTCAATTTTGAATTTTAGATTTACGCCTAAATAATTGTTTAAATCTATTTCGCTTAGTTTTAGTGGGTAAAGAAGAATCAACACTAAGCAGTGAAGTACTTGCACTTTGTCTTGATAAAGGTCGTGTAAATGATGATGAATTTGTTGTTGGCGGTGGTGGTTGCCTTAAAAGTTTTTTTAGAATTTTTAAATTATTAATAAAATTAAAAATGGTCAAAATATAAAATTTCTAAAGCTCATTTCAGTCCCGTTTGCCTTTAGTTTAAGTTTGGTCTTTTACATATAAATTTAAAAATCGAGAAAACAGGTACTCGTAAATTATCTCCCATATAGTTCATTTAGGTACAATATTTTCAACACCAAAGCTGCATCTAAAATTTACACCTTTACTGTATTTGCTCAGTTACCCCCTCCCGCGAGACTGATAAAATAATCACCCAATTTTAGACACAGCTTATTCAAGTAAACACACTAGTATTTTGTAAGTGTGTATTTTAATCAAAAAAATTATCTATAGTATCTATAGTAAGCTTTGGGGATACTCAACAGATACCAGAAAACTTCAAAAACCTACTTATATCCAAAGTTAAAATGAGGGTCATTTTCATGATGTTGGATATCTCCTCCATTAGTAATTGTTGTTGGAGGGTATTCATCTAAACAAGAAGTGTTATTATGTAATTGTGGTTGTTGTTGTAATTGAGGTTGGCGCATTCTTTCAAGTTGTTTAATTCCCATAATTGGATTTGTTTCGAGAGATTGGACAACTCCTTAAATAAAATTTAAAAGTTACAAATTTTGGGATTGGGAAAGAAAATAAAGTGAAGATTATGAAAATTAAAGGAAAAAGTAATTTTTAAAAATTGTCTTGATAAAAAGTAATGAACACGTAAACAATAAAATTTTTCTTTTCTAAAGAATCTTTTAAACTTTTTGGTACAAATTCGTTTTGTTTTTACACGAACCAAAGAGGATGACTAAAATGACTAAAGTCGGGTCGGGTTTTCAAAAATTTATCGGCTTGGGTTTCGGGACGAAAAAAGTCCGGGTTTGGGGTAATCCGTCCCATCCCTGGTATAAAGGATAGGACTAACTTTGGTCAGAACCTGGCCCTCTAAACAAGCTTGAGACAAAAATAAAGTAAAAAACAATTATCTTATTTCTAAGGTTATAAAAGTAGAGAAGACACTTTAATCCCTCGCTAAGACAAATGAAAATAATTTCTTGACAGTTTCCCTATGAATGTGAAATTCAAATTATTAGGAGTTGAGTTTTCAAATTAAAAATAGTTATTTACGTGATCATACATATACAATTAAATATAATAGATTAAATAATTTCAGCATCACTAGAAGAGGAGGAAGGACGGGATGATGAAGATATAGAACTAATATTACAATCTTGTTGTGAATATAAATTTTGGGAAAATAAAATATTAGAAAAACGAATTGGAGAAGAAAAATTTTGGAAAGAAAAAAATTGTTGAGAAAAAGAAATATTAGAAGTTGAATTGCCAATTTGTGAGGAGAAAATGTTGTCAGTTACTGAAAGGGGTTTAATTTTAAAAAAAGATTGCTACGAGTTATTTTTTGAAAAAAATTTTTGGGGGAAAAAAGAAAGGGTACTTTCTGGTTATCTACCACCATTTCCCTTTTTAGCGAATTTGATTAGCTATCCGAATAAAACTCATATCATTCAAAAGCCCTCGATAAGCGCCATTTTTTAACCAACTGAATGGTCAAGTATAATGTCTCATTAAAAAGTTACAAGTCGATAATTGTAAAAAAACACCGATTTCTTGCATTTATTGACTTTCAACTTTTTATGAGTGATCATACTTGATCCATATAGTTGGATAAAAGATAGCGTTTATCGAGGGCTTTTGAATGATATGAGGATCAAGCATAAAAAATTATAACCAATCAAATTCGGTAAAAAAGAAATTGGTGGAAGATACCCAGAAAGTAACAAAAAAACTAAAAATCCCCCTTACCAAAAGGTCCAGTAATCGAAAAACCACAAAGAGATTCAATTTTCATCCATCTTTGCACCAATTCTTCAATTCCTTGCTTAATTTTTTCCATTCTAGCTTTTAAACTAAAAATTTTTGTATCAATATCATCAGTTCCAGAAGTAGCTCCAGTTGCCAATTTTAATGAATTTACTATACTACTTTGCTTTTTCCTCATTTTATCAACTAATTCCATTGCTTCACGCATTTCTAACAAACAATCTGTCCGTTGTTTGTCTAAAAATATTGAAAGTAATAAAGAAGTACGGATGCTGGCCACTCCCCCAGAGGTGGGTCGGAATTCCCCGACGTTTTTTCCTTTCGATTTCCGATTTCCGAAAAATATTTTGATTTCCGATTTCCGACTTTTGATCCAGTTCCGATTTCTGGCTTTTCCCATTTCCGACACTTTGGACTGTTCCGACCCACCTCTGATTCCCCCTACATACTTTCATTCCCTCTACCTCCTTCCTATTTATCAGCGTTCCCGCAAGGATACTTTTTGTTCACCCTCAGGTTCCGGGAATTTAGGTCCTTTGGTTCGGTTCTGGATAACTGAAGACTTCCAAGAACCTACAGCGCTACTCAGATCCTTTCTCATTTCATTCCTTTTCGAGTAAACTAGAGTAGCACAAGACTGGTTAATCGCCCGGTTAATTTTTCCCTGTGGCGGGTCTTTTTTCTCTTTTCCCTTCTCTCTTCTCTTTTGTTGTGTAGTGGTATCGCTATAGTATAAACGCCAGTGAAAGCGTCAGTCTAGCTGGATCATACTAGCGCGGCTAGTTCCTGATTCCCGTCGTCTGTTCCAAACCTTTTACCTTCGCATACACATTGTTATTTCTACACCGGATAAATTGTTATTGTTGTGCACGTCAACATCAGTCAAATCTCGGACACCTCCGGTCTCTCGTCTCTTTTTGGCCCGCCACAAGGAAATATTAAACCGGGCGGTTAACCGGTCTTGTGCTACTCTAAAGAAAACAGAAAAAAAGGGAAGGAGGGAAAATAAGGGATACCAGAATAATTTATTGAAACCGAAATCCTTGAAGATTCAGCCGGTCAGGTAAAATAAGATGAAAATATGGGGAAAAGACATAACATAAAAACAATTACTATAAATACCTAAATATGCCGATTCAATTTCATAAGTTCGCCTAAGCAAAGTTTGAAGAAAAAAGAAATGTTCTCCTCCATCCATCCCTCCAATACTTAAATCACCTCCTCCAACACCCAAAAGTTTTTGCTCATTTTCAAAATCCAAAACTGGATTCTTTAAAATTAAAAAAGAATTTTTTTAAATTAATTCTATCAAAAAATACATAATTATATCCTTTTGCTGCATTAACCTCTCCATTGCTATCTTCAGTAGGATGTTGCTGTTGAACTTTATTTTCTTCTTCAAATCTGAAAATTTAATTTAGCTTAAAATATGGAGAATTAAAACAAAAATAATTTTGAGAAAAAGTTTAATAAAAAAAAGAATGACTCTTAAAATCCCCTCGTTATTTCTTTTTTGCAAAATGAAACTAAAAAAATTTTTGAAGGTGTTCGGATGAGTCCAATCTTTCAAAACGCATTTTACTTATGTTATTAATTTAATTTATTTGAAATTATTTAATAAACAAAAAAAAAGAAAAATTGAACCGATCTCTTAAGGATTATACTAAATCACTTAGCGCGACCTAAGAGTTATTACTTTTGCACCCCATTGTATGTACCAAGGCTAAACGGATCTAAAAATAAAAAGCGAAATTAGCCCAGCCCTGGTATATACCATATCCAAAAATAAAAGTCCAAAATATAAAAAAAGGTCCAAAAATATCCATAAATTGCTTCCAAGTTCCGTTACAAAATGTACAAAATGTAAATGTAATCAGATGGACCCAAAAAAAGAAAAGGAATCCTAACCCTATCTTTAGTCCTTAAGATAAGGACTAAAGATATCTTAACCCTATCTTTAGTCCTTATCTTTAGTCCTTAAGTCAATAAACAAAAAACTCTCTTAAAGTCCCCCCAAAAAAATCAAAACAAACTTTTGTTGTTGATGTACTCCCTCAAAATCAGTCTCCATATCCCTCAATTTACTCAATCTTGTCGATAATTCTTCCATTTGTTTTTTTGCTCTATTTTTGTATGCTTTGAATATAATCAATAAACTAATTAGACAAATAAGTAGACTAGCCAAAGCAATATCTTTAATTAAAGAAGAAGAATCTTGAGATCCAAATAAAACTAAATCCAAAGCTTTTAATTGAAGTTTTTGACGATGAACAGAATTTTTGATATCCAGAGAATTAAATATTGATGAATTTTGAGCTGCCAATCTGTAAATTGATGTTTTAGTAGAAAAGGAAAAACAGTTATCCTCCCTATTTTATGCACCCATTGATTTGTTGACACCCCCCTCTCCCCATTATCCAAACAAATTAAACATAATCTTTTCTAAATTTGTTGGATAATGGGAGGTTGTAAAATATAGAAAGGTCGACTTAAAGCCTACAATATGTATCAGGGATGGGCCGGGTTACCCGAAACCCGACTTTTTTCTCAATCCGGCCCATTCCTGATACGTATGTAAAGGTCAAAAAGAATAAAGAAATTGAAAAAAGATCGTTTTAGAAATTGAAGGAATTTAAAGGAAAAACAGGATGTTTTTAAAGAAAGACTTGTTTTTTTAAAAGAAAGACCAGTAAAAATCAAAAAATGCAAGGATTAATCCAGAAATTTTTTAATTCAATTACATTAAAGATGCCAAGGATATGCTCAAAAAATTGTTTTAAAAAATTTTAAAACCTTGGAAAATCAATTCCAGTAATTCCTTCCCTCATAAAATTATTGACATATTGAGGCAATTTCACACCATTTACCAGCCAATCGATTACTTAAATTTTGGTTAAAAATTAATATTTAACAAAAAAAACCTTGTTTTTCGTCCCATTCTCTAACATCTGATTGAAACCAAGCATCCCAAAGATCATCAACAGTTATTGACTCATCGTTCCCATGAAAAGCTTTTTCTCTTTTTTCGCGTTCAGATTCGCCAAATTTTAAATCTTCTGTCAAAAACTGAAAAAAATTCCTAAATGAAAAGGATACTTTAGGTGGAATTTAATAAATTATTTTAGGAAAAATTATGAAAAAAGTAAGGGAAATTTCAATTGTTTTTAATGCAGTTACTATAAATTAAGTGTTATTGAAGTATAGCAGACTAGAGACCGGCCTGGGCTGGACCAAGGCCTGGGTTTTTCCTTTACCCAGAGTCAAGGCCCAGGCATTTTTTGACCTTCCTGGCTTTTTCCTGGGCCTGGATTTTTCCTGGACTACAGGCCCAGGATCAGGCACAGATCAATAAATCAGACGGGGAACCCAGGAACAGGCCCAGTAAATTCCGATTTCTATTGCGGATTCAATTTTTCGATGAGGAGCCGTCTGTTTCTAGCCCATTATCAAAAAATTCTATTACTAAAAGTTGTCTTGTCTTATTGTTAGATTTAGCTTCCATGGACTGAATTTAAATAGGTAGTCCGCAAAAAAAGTCTGCAAAATTCCGACTCAAATTCACAACTGTCTACCCAAATATTCTCCCAAAAAACCCTTAAAAACCCCTCAAATATAAACCTACATCTGCCGATTCATAGCGTTCAATAGACCCAGACTGGTCATTATCCAAAACTCCATGAATTGCCTTTATTGCCAAATACCCTTCTCGGTCTCTTAATTTTTCGTCTTCTGAAGTTATTTGGATATCTAAAATTGAAAAAAAATAAGAAAAAATAAAAATATAATTAAAAAAAAACTTTTTGTCATTTTATCAAATTTAGCAGAAATAAAGAATAATTGAAGAATTGTTACAAGTGAAAGAAACATTCTGAAAATTAGCTAATAAATATTTAAAAAATTAAAAAATTTTTCGTTGTATATTTTTAATTTTTTTGAATAAATAAAATAAAAGTTGTGGAACGGAAGGGGCACGAGAGCTGGATCAGTTCCGGTGACCAAAACCTTGTGCGGAATTGCCCCTGAGATCGCACAAATCACGAATTCCAAACTAAGGAAAAATTTTTCAGGATCCTGTCCAGATCAGGGATGAGCGCAAGAGACAATCTAAAAAACGCAAGACGCAAAACGCAACGCAAGGCCAAAATTTAACGCACATAACGCAAAGTGCAATGCGCTCACCCCTTGTCCGGGTGTAGAACAAAATGATAAAAAACAAGGGTGTACCCTTTTGTCTTTTGGACATTTTTACATTTAGATATTTCATTATTCGGATTTAGCAATTTTTCATTTTACTTACCTTCGTTATTTAAATTTATTAACACATCAAAAGGAACAAAAATTACTTTTAACTTTTGTTGTCTTTTAATTGTTAACGAGTATTGATTGATTCTTTTTTTAATTTGTAGGTATCTTGACTGGCGGGACGGATGATGAAAAGTGAATGGATGTCGAAACAAGATGTTAAAAAACGGTTGGATAGTAAGTTTATATTTGTTTCTTTTTTTGAACTTTTTAAGTGTGTTTTGATCGGGTCAGCAGGTGTTTTTCTAAGTTTTGGATTGGGGTTTTCTTGGGTATTTTCCGATCCAAAATCCTTTTCATTCTTGAAAAACAGCTCTGATCAAAACAAAAATGTTAAAAGTTGGAAGGCTTTTGGCAATGGAAGTCTAGAGGGCTATTGCCAATGGAATGCCCTTTGGTCCGAATAAAGTGTCTAATGTCGTCTTGAAGTGTGTGTCTTGTCTAAAAGATTTCCTAATCAATCAATTTCACCTCTTTATCCTTCAACAGACCAAGAAAATTTTATTTTTCCATAATACTTCCATGGAGGAGGATATCACGCACTAGCAAAGGAAAGGCCTAATCAATTATATCCAAAATCGGGCAATCCCGGAGAATAGGGGTTTCTTCGAAAAAAAAGTTTAAAAATAAGAGAAAGGATTTTTCTAGGGTAAAAAAATGTGCTGATTACGAATCTGAGCTCGGATTTTGAAAAAGTCGTACCCGGACCCGAATATAGGTCCTACAAAATCGAAAAACCATAGGGGGGACCAAGCTGATTCTGGGGTGAAAAATTCGAATATGCAAATAATAGCTCATTCAAAAGAGCTCGACGAGCTGAGTCGAATGACACCAAAATCACCGTGATTGAAAAAGATCTGGCGAAGTTATGATACCAAAATCAAACAACGTAAACCTATGTTTTTTGTGTTGTAACTTTGTCTGTTCTTGTTCATTCACGGTAATTTTGGTGTCATTCGACTCAGCTCGTCGAGCTCTTTCGAATGAGCTATTATTTGATCAATTTGCGCTCTGTGAAAGTTTTCCCAAAATGTCGAATGTCCGAATTCAGGTCCGGGATTCGACTTTTTCAAAATCCGAGCTCAGATTCGTAATCAGCAGATTTTTTTACCCTAGAAAAATCCTTTTTCTTATTTTTAAACTTTTTATTCGAAGAAACCCCTATTCTCCGGGATTGCCCAAAATCGAATATTGCCTCAAGCAATATGAGGGAATAATAGATTAACAAGCAGGGCTGCACGCAATTGAAAAAATGTCCCGCAGCCGCAACTCGCAATTTTTATTTTAAAATCCGCAAACGCAATCCGCAAGTCAAAAAAAAAAACGCAATCCGCAATTGCGTTCAGCCCTGCTAACATTTTTTCTGGGTAATTTGTTGTTTCCTTTGCCTGATTTTAAAATATATATGTCAATTTCTAACTCTTTCTTTAATTCCAAGGTATCTTCGGTGAGTATTCTGCATTCGTGGTTAGGCCAGATGATCAACAACAATTTGTTCAACAGTCAAAATTGTTGGAAAATAACTATAAATCTAATAAAATTTGTAAAACTGAAATTATACGGGATGAAAGACAATCAAATGTCGATAACCAAACTCAATCTAGGTTTGATTTTTTTTAAACTTGTGGTTCCTGTCCAGTTTGCGCATCCTACAATATTATATAATTGATTTTCTTTGCTTTCTTTGAAAGCTTGAGTTTTTTTTACGTTTTTTGCCTTCGAAATTTGTTACATGATTTAGGACTAGCAATTGTCGGTAATATTGAACCTGGCAAACCCCATTTTTCCTTCACAAGTCTTGCCCTTATATTTTTACAGACAGGTCCTATTAATTTGGCTAGCTACATCTATTTTAAGAAATTCGTTAACCCTTGGTTAATTGTCCGTAAGTTCCGACACAAAAAACGGTAAGAGACGTAAACCTAACTTTAAAAACCGACCAAATCCGATAAGTATAACTTAAGGGTACGCATAAACTCGCTAAGAAACTAACTCATTAATTTCCCTTTTTTCTCAGTTCAAATATTAATTCAATGATTGGACAACTTGTCAATATATCCAAACCGTTATCGCCTGTTACTTTTGCACAAAATGAGTCTAATCAACTTGTCAATGGATTTGAAGCAACAAAAGAGGATGAATTTTCTAATAAAAGTGAAAAGTAAATTTTTTGAATTTGGTTATTTAATTTGGGGGTAGTTAAATAGGTATTTATGTTAAAAGTTTAGTGTTTTACTTCTTGATACTTTTTTGCTAGCTTTTAACATTCTTCACTTTCTTTTAAATAATTTAATGGTCAAGGGAGCGTTATGAAAAGGGTCATTAAATTAATTTTAAAGAGAAGGGATATATTGTTTAGGGTTGTCAGCTCGACTAGATGAGTTTAGCGGTTTTGCTGTTTTTTCCCGAAAATTAAGACTTGTTTTGTTAGAAAAAATTAATTTTCTGCTTACTAGTATTTACATATTTTCGAGTTTGCACTTTTTAAATAAAACAATGTTAGCATTAAATGAGGAAGAAATTTTTAAAATTTTCCTTCATTAATAATCTCTAAAATTGTTCCTTTGGATGTCAGGGAAAAAAGAGTTTTAACTTAAAAACCTGGGAATTGCTAACAATAAGAACCTTTTTAATTTTTTTTTATTTCCCAAATTTTTTTCAGATTTGGGCCAGATTTGGATACAATATTGGAACAAATTTCTCGTGTTTCTCCTCTTCTGTCGCCAATTGTCAATATTTCTGCTTCTTTAAATGAAAATAATTCTGATTCTTTGGATAATTTAAAACAAGAAATTAATGCTGCTATTACCTCAAAAAGTGACCAAAATGGATCAAAAAATAATTTGAAGAGACCGAATACGGACGGTTTGGTTTTTAATTTTGTAGATTTTTGTTTTCTATTTTTTTCGGGTTTTCTAAAAAAGTTTTCTGGTTTTGAAATTCTATTTGATCAATTTTTAAAGTTGGTATTAACTTAATAGAATAATTCTGACAAATCAATAAAAGTTTGGGTGTTGTAAATTATTTTAGGGGATTTCTACTGATTTTACATTTGAATTTGGACACCAGGGTTGAGTGAGGAAAATGAAATTTTTGAGGAAATTGAGTGAGGAAATTTTCCTCGCTCTTGGGTTTAGTAAGGAAAAAATAGTCGAATTTTCTAAAATTTTCTTCTTATCGTATTCTCGGATACTCCTAGACATCCATGGTTTGTACGAAATAGCGGCATTGCTATTATGTATTTCAGAGCAATTTTTAATTAGTCCATTCCTTTTTACCAATTATTTATACAAAAACAAAACTATTCAAAAAAAGTTTTTTCTCTATCAGACTTTGATCCAAAACTTTTTTTAATTTTCAGAAGACACTTCTCATATACACATCTCACCAAAACGTCATAAAGATTTGCATGTAGAAGAACAACAATATTTTACTCAAAAAGTCATTAAAAAAGAGAATAATTCTTCAATTTATTCGATTAAACTTCGAAGCATTTCTTTAAATAAATTGCTTAATAAATTTTATCCTCAAAAAGAATTGCAAGAAGAAAATGAATTACAACAAGAAATTCAATCTGAAAGAAGTTTGGATTGTTCTACTGCTAATGCTTCAACACCAACTACACAAATTGATGTTGATCAAGCACAAAATGAAAGAGGGGGGAATGGTCGGCAGTCTGATAATATGGTTTTATTTTTTAAATAAATTCTTTAAAATTTAAGAATTGAGATTAGTTTTGTCTTAAATGTTGTCTTATCGTGATTGTAATTTTTCAAAATATTTATTTTGTCCGACGTTAAAGTCTAGTCTCTACTTCAACCCTAATTTAAGACCGATCACTAAGTTTGGGATTTTACTTTGTTTAATTTTGTTTATTAACAAAGTTTGAGCTTGACCCTAGTTAAAAGGGGTATCAACAAACTTTTTTCTGTTTTAAAATGCTGTTAAGACTCGGGGTACTGTTAGATTTTCGATTTTTCCTGGAAAATTTATTTTTGGAAAAAAAAATTTTTCATGGACCGACCTAGTAAATGAAAAATATTAATTTCTGGCTACGCTCGTTTAAGTTATTAAAATCGTTTTAATATATTTTATTTGTTGGAGAGTATCTGCAAATGTCCATAAACTATTCAAATTTACTTTAACTTTTTTTTTAAATTTAAACATTTTCAGTCTGATCAACCAACGAATATTTCTGATTGTGACTTCAAGATTGGATTTCCATCACCTGACGGAAAATCACCACCTTTTGATTTCTTTCAAAAAAATGCTCGTGATATTCGAAAAAGAAGCGATCAGGAGGTTTGCAAAGAATTTTTTTAGTTTTTTAAATTAGCGTAAGGCCTCCTAAATTTTGTTGTTGTTTTTTTTTGTGAACAACCTCGTTTAGTTAAATCTAGGTTATACTAATGTGTAACATGCCCCTTTATTTTTTAACTTATTCTGCACCTGTTCCTATTTTCTGAACCGTTTGAGAAATTATGTGGGTATTCTATTTAGAGTAGATTACGTCCGGGTAGTTTTGCCCTCCCCCCGTTTTAACAGACGTTCGGGTTTTTTCGTCCTCACTCGGGCTCGAACTTGGGATTCTAATACTTGGCGAAGGATCCTAATACTTACTCATTCTCATACACTAGGTTAAACCGAGTCTGTTACTTGGTACTCGCTCGGTTTTCCCCCCAATTACTCGATACTCGACTTTACTCTAATTTAGAGTATGTCATTCTGATGTAGGTTTTGCGATATTTGACGCAAAACTAGTGTAACTTTTATTTTAACTAAATTAAAAAAAAATTTTCTTAAAGGGAGATCGAATTTTGAAGCTTCTTTTTTCCTTTGAATCACTTGCATATTATATAATGGCGTCCTCAACTTTAACTTCAAAAACAGAAAAAATGCATTCTTCAATAGCAGAAAATACTAATTATCTCAAGTATAAATTTTAATTTTAAGTAATCTTTAAAAATTTTTTCCTTTAATAGTTCTTTTTGGAATTCCTTCAAAAAACAAAAGATCACAGAATCAAAATTCCTTACTTCAATACGTACACGTCTAAAATATTTACAAATGATGATTTCTGCTTGTTTGGCTTATAATTTGTATTCATTACGTTCTGGGGTGAATTTTTGATTTTTTTATAAAAAATATTGTCATTTGGGAGAATACATATGTGAGGGATCTTTTTTTCCATTTTTCTCTCATTTTTATTTTAAATACGTGAAAATCAGAAAAATTTGGACATTTGTAGGCCTAATAACCGAGTTCCTATGGGAGTCAGACATATTGGGACGGACTTGGGTATATTTTAATGTACGAACAGCTTCTCTACTGGTTTCACGACTTACGTCCACTACATTTTTATGTTGAAGAAAATAGTTATTTTAGAACCATTGGAAGAAGTTATTTTTCTCGCAGTAATCCCGATATGTCCGTTCCGATATGCCTACCTCTACCGTTCCTATACTACGAATCCAGATGTGGGTTGTTGTTTTTTTATCCCATTTATCTTTAAAACTTTGGCTATTTTCTCATAAATTTTTTTAATTTTTAGCAAGCTCTAAAAACTTATACAATTCTTCAACAATATGAAAAAGAGAATCCTGCAATTAGCAGACGTCCTACAAGTAGAGGAGCTACAACAACAACAACTAATAATAATATTAATGGAATAAATGAAAATGGGGCAGCTTTAACAACAAATGGTATTGGTGGGGCAGCTACATGTTCAACAACAACCCCTTCACCTGGCTCTTCTACTCCTAGCTCTTTTAATTCTCAAACTACGGTGTGAAAAAAAATTGGGGGAGATCTTTAAAAAATTATTTTTTGAAGGTAACATTACCGTTAGAGGTGTACAATAGCATGTTTCAACAAATTAAAATTCTTAATCATTTAATGTGGGCAGATAAGTTGTGGAATGATGCGGAATCTCATGCTCCACAAGAATGTAAAGGTGTGGTTATATTTGTTTTTAATTTTGAAAGTCTGAACTCTTGTAGTTAGCTTTTTCGGATTGATTCAAGGGAAACTTATGGTCCTATAAGACATAAAATTTGAATGGGATGTTGATAATGTTTGGGAAAATTATTTTCGTAAAGTCATCATCCCGTTATTTAGTGTTAGAGCATTTAAACACGGTGAGCAAAGCTCCTAGCACAAAATTGCTTGGAGCTCACAGGTTCGATTCCTGTTCGGTTACTAAACATTCTGTTTTCAATAATTGACTCTTTGTGATATTTACATTAAAATTTCTTGTTATTCGATTGTTGGATGGGACATATTCAAAATAACAGTCTACTAAAAAAAATTTTTTTTTGTTAGAATTTTTTGAACGGATTACCAATTTATGTTGTGGAATAAACCAAACCTCTGGATTGTCTACTATCGCTAAGTTTTTGCTAACTACCGTCCAATGTTTGAAAAAAGAATACGGGGATAAGACTTGAATTTAAAAAAATTAAAAGTAAATATATTTGCCAGAAGCGGGGCATTTTGCGTAAATAAAAACAACAACAAACAAGTACCACGGGTCTTTCACCTCTAAAAAAATAATCCCTCATTTTATATTAAATTTATTTTGATTTTTCTTTTAATTGCCGTTTTATTTTTTATATTGTGGATTTAATTTAGTTTTTGATTAATTTTTGTTTTTTAAAATGTTGGGAATGTTTTGTTTTTGGGTGAGATTTAAAATAAAAATTCGACTCTCTGAAACCTTTATCTACATATTCCAGTAATCTACCGATTTTCTGTCCAAACCAGAATTGGACGACTGATTGTTCAACAGAATGTTCAAAAGTCTTAAAAAGCTCTATAAACGAAATTTCGAGACAGTTTTGGTTCGAAATAAGCAAATCCTTTCGTTAACATTCCTGAGGTATGAAATTCTCGAATTTTCATAATTTTGGGGTATACATATCATTTTCTCTAAAATTCTGAGAAAATTTCTTTCTCCTTTCTACCCCTTTTCTTCTATTTTTGTCAAACATAAATAAAAAATAAATAAAACGGCAATTAATTAATTAAAAAAAGATATATAATCAGATTCATTTATTTTTATTCTCATCCCTCTCTAATCCTAACCGCAATTTTCTTAGTACAATCGAATAGGTAAATAAAAGTAGAGATATTTTGCTTATCAAATCCTCAAAAATTTATTTTTATTTGTTTTTTTCTCATTATTTGTATTCAAGCTGGTGATTATTTTTTATATAAAATTAAATTTTTATTATTATTTTTCTAAATGCAAAATATATATTATGGTTATTTTACTAAATACTACATACACCCCGTTGTTATTTTTGCTTTTATTTGGGAGAGAGCGGATTTTTGGGTTGCAAATTAGTTTGAATTAAAGGAGGAACTGAGTATTAATTCTGAATTTAAAGTCCGGCGAGAGTAATCTCTAATAGAGATTGAGCCTGGCACTGACTATTACTTGGATCTCGCTTGTCCAAGCCTCTGTCATTTTTGAACTGCCTGGGTTATTCCGAAAGTCTAGAGTCATGATCCGGCCACGGTCAATGAACTCCCATGATTCTTTTTAAAAACCCGATCCCATTCTTCAAATCCACTAAACAAAAAACCTAAAAATCCGCTCTTTGCTTTTTAAAATAAAATAAAATGTTTGTTTATATTAATGCCTTTTTAAGTCTATATATGGTCAATTTAGTTGTTTTAAGAAAATATCATCGCTTTTTTAAAAATTACTCTCAAAAATCCATCCAAATATTCCTCTTATAGAATGCGATATAATAAAAGTTTTTATGCTATAAAAATAAAATTGGTGATATAGAAGAAATTTTTGTGATTTTATATAAGGGACTAGTAGTTTATAAGGTTTTTAAAGGCAACTTGAAAGAATTTTTGGTCATTTTCTATTTTATTTGACTAGAAACGAGTGCCTCGTTGAGTTTGGTCTAAAATCAGCTAAAAGTAAACATTTTAAATGAATTTTACATACTCCATTCATCCAACGTTGGCATTGAGCGGGATAAAGGGTCGTTGGGGCTAGTTAAGTGTGCATCTAGTACTTTCTGAAAATTTTAAGTCTAAACTTAAGTTTATAAGTTTACACTTAACTTTTTTTAAATTAAAGTTTTACTAAGGTCTTCAAGTTTATTAATATTTTTCGTCAAGTTTTAGTAATATTCAAGTTTAAATTAAATTTAAGTTTAATATATTCAAGTTTGAGTGTTCAATATTTCATTTATTTAGGTTTTATTTCAGGTTTTATATTAACCAATTTTTATATTAAAGTTTATATATTAAGTTTATTATTTTAACACGTAAAATGAAACTTCAAATAGAAAACTTGCCTGATAGCGCAGTTTACAAGCTGCCTCAATTGTCTTTGCTAGTGAATTTGCTGAAGGTTCGGTATGGAAGACATAACAAATAAAATGATCAGCGGATTGAGCTACTATGAAAGCGCAGTGCCTGAAAATAGGAAAAATATTTTATTTTTGCGTCTTCTTGAAATTTTTCAATTTTTACTTTGTATCCCTTCCAATTCCCAAAAAGGAGAGGTAACGAACACGACATGAAGCAATTTGCCTTTTAACACCTTTAGCTTCAAATATAGCTATAACTGAGGGAGATATGTGGACATCTACAAGAGTCCAGCGTTCTTTTTGTACTTCTTTTAATAGTCGATCAACTGCTTCATTGAGCATTTCTATTCCGGTAGCGCGGGGTACTTAATATTAAATAAATAGATTAACCCTTGCTTCTCTCAAACCTTGAGTTACTCCAATAAAATGGCAACGAATAATTTTTTTCTGCTCTTCAATTGGCGAGGGAAGTATAGGGGTTGATTGTCCTGAAAAAATAATTAAACTTGAAAAAAAAAGTTGGTATTTTAATGTCTTTATTTAAGTTTAGTTTAATTCCAAGTTTTGTATATTCGTTTATTTCTATTCAAGTTTTATATATATATCCAATCAAGTTTATTTTCATAAATTCAAGTTTTATGTATTCAAGTTTATTTTTTCAAGTTTATTTTTCTCAAGTTTCACAAATTCAAGTTTATTTTCTTACGTGTTATTCTTCTTAAACCACCATTAAGTGAACTAGGCCTTGGCTGGCTTCTTTGTCTTATTAAAGTATTACAAACATTCCCCAAAGCCTCTGCCACCGCATTAGCAGGTTGATCGCACCGCAATACATGACAAAGCAAACGGCCTTTGTCCAGAGCAACAAAAGTGAATTCCCTTTAAATAATTACAACTTGTTTTAATTAAAGTTTATTTTAATGTTTTCAAGTTTATTTTTATAAAAACAAGTTTATTTTTATACAAACAAGTTTATTTTTCATATAAACAAGTTTATCGTTGTATAAACATGTTTTTCCAAGTTGTATCAAGTTTATTAAATTTTCCCCAAGTTTGTTCAAATATTCTAATTAAATGCCTTGGATTTTCTCTTCCAACGGCCCAACAACGTATTCTGCTAATAGGCTGTTTTGTTAATAACAATTCCCCATCTCCTCCTCCTCCATCTTTTATCTCTCCATTCTTTTTTCGAACTTCTACTCCATCAGGTAAAATCGCCAAAATAGCTTCTTTTCCAACTTCATTTCGTAAACGAGTTATTGCATTATTTAAACTTGCTTGACTAGTTTCGACTCCTTCCAGTTCTGATTCTTTTAATTCTAGCTGACCAAGGTAGCGGACATTGAATTGACTTGATGGCTGTTAAAATATATTTTTGGATATTGTGGGCATTTTTAATGGAAGCCATCGTTTTTTGATGCTCACCATTTTTGGAGGTTTTTGGAGGTTTCCCATCTCCCACCTATTCCACCATATCCCTCACCCCTCCCACATCCCATATCTGTCTTATCCCTTCAACATGTCATTCACTCTATCATATCTCAACTTCAAAATTTATTTCAAGTGCCTCTTCCAGTCGTTGTGGAGGTTGTGGTCGTTTTACTATCCCATATCTCCCACTTATTTCAAATCTTCTAGCTATCCCTATGAGAATAACGTGAAGATTCTTCCTCATCTTTTATTCAACCTACATAATCTATAGCCTCTTTATCTTTAAATTCTTCTTCTTCAGCTAAATCAACTCTCTTTTTGGTTGTTGTTTGTCTAAAAGCATGTTCTTCAATTATAGGTTGCCTAACTGGTTCTTCTTGTATTGTTGTTTGTTGTGCTGTGTCTGTAGTAGAAATTATTGGGGGAGAAGGGATTGGGGGCTTTTCTTGTATTGGGGAGGGAATTGGCTACAAAAATTAATTTTTTAAAGTAATTTTAAATTTATTTTTGCCTCTTCCAGTCGTTGTGGAGGTTGTGGTCGTTTTTCTTCTTCTAAACGGGGTCCGCTATCAACATGCCAATAATGGGAGAAGGCGGAAGGGTCTAATAATTAGGGGAAAGAATATAAAAATAAGTGGGAATGGGGGGGGGCGAATGAATGGGGAAAAAATAGGGGGGAATGTTTTTTTGTGTGATTATGGCAGAAAATAATTTAAGTAATAGTTGCGGGCAACCAATAAATATTTTATAACAAATATTTTATTTTCTTCAAAACTAGAGTTGCTCGAGATCGAGATTTTAGAAAAAATCCGAGACCGAGATTGACCGAGACTCGCATGACCGAGACCGAGACCGAGATGCAAAATTTGACCCGAGACCGATATCGAGATCCGAGATAAACCGAGATTCTTCAAAACTTTTTTTATCCACCAAATCCCAACCAAATTAATTAAATATCATCTAAATCATCATCAAAATCACCCAATGAGTCTTGGAAAATATTGTTTCATCATAAGAAAAGCGTGGAATTGAAGGAATTTTATTATCTTTTTTTTAGAAAGTCCCTTATTCGCTTAAATGTAGGCAAAGATGTAGATGCTGTCGACTCCTCTCTAGGGCGCTGAAAAAGTAGAAAATCTGGCTTCTTGGCCTTCCAAAATTCTCAAAATTTTTGCCTGAACGCTGAAAAATTGAGTCTTAATTATGTCCATTTTTACGGGTCCCAGAGACTGTACCGGATGCCCCTCTAAATCCTCTGATATCCATAATTTAGCGGTTAAGAAAGATATCGAAGGATTTGGGATATTTGATCAAAGCTTTGAGTTAGGTATTTAACCTAAACTTTGATTCATCAGGTCTCTAAAGATTTCCACTCACTACAGTTATTTCGCCTTTTTGTCTTTCGCCTTTTTTTGCCTTTTTTCGTGTTTAATCTTTCGCCTTTCATGTTTCGCTTTTTAAAATCTGTTTCGGCACACCCCTGGTGTGTACATAATACTTCGCTACACGATGGCCGTGCTTCGCTGCGGTCGTGCTCGCTTCGAACGCGGTGACAGTAGCGAAGCGGCCTCCGCAGCAGCAAAAACCTTTTTCCGCAAAGGTTTATGTGTATTCGGCCGCGCCTATTTGTCCTGCTCCGCTCTCAAGACAACTAAATTAAAATGAGTCAGAACAATATGACAATAGCGAAATTTTAAATATTTTGTCAAAATAAAAATAAATCTCAAGAACGTCAATCTTTAGGAGTGTATACTGATCTCGGATCTCGTCGAGATTAAGTGCCGAGAATCTCGTCTCGGTTAGGTGGTCTCGTCTCGGCAAAACCGAGACCGAGATTGGAAAATGGCCGAGATTCTCGTCTCGGTCTCGGTCGAGATATCGATCTCGCGCAACTCTATTCAAAACTACTCTCTTCCAACAAGATAGTAACTACCGTATTTCTTCTAATAGTGCGGCCGGTCGGTTTATTTTCCAACCATCCTCTAGGGGGTTATTAGAAGGGGTCGGTCTAATAAAGAGAGTCGCACTATTAGAAGAAATAAGGTATACATTTATGTTTAGAATGTGGCACAGGACGTGTCCGTCTTAGGCTCAATAAACGTTTGTTTTGTTTGCAAATGACAGTCTGTAAATGTTGAAAGTTCTTAGACTTTCAAAAAGTGTTCAACCTTTTTAGGCTTTTAGAATACAAAATCTCATAAAATTTATTGAGGTAAACTATTCTTCTCACCTTCACTTATTCTGATGGGCGAATAGACGGGGCCTTGTTGCTCTTCTTCCACCTCCAATTCTTCCCCATGTTCCCCTCTCGGAACAAAATGTACACCACTATCGGGCGAAAGAAATTGGGGAGGACCGGGTTGCCTTTCCTCCTCTTCTGTTATCCACTAAAAAATTAATTTTCTTTAAATTATTCAAAAATTTTCCAAACATGTTCTTCTTCTTCCTCCTCTTCCAAAACATAATCAACAGGTGGAGGTAATCTAGCTGGTTCTTGTTCGGCATTTTTTAATTGATCCAATTGCCAATAGAAGGAATAAGGGTCTCGATGTTCTGTTATCTAATTGGGGAAAGTTTAAAAAATAGGAAGATTCTTAATTCAAAAATCTATAGGAGAATTATCGGTAAGCTACCCCTAACCTTTATCTCTCCATTCTTGTCACATTTTTGTATGGCATACTAAATATCTCCTTAATTGATTTGGATAAGTTAGCCAGATCTGGCCAACCTTCCCTTATATCACAATATCCGAGTTAACCCCGAATATTCACAAAATTCCCAACATAGGGATATTCATTGCATTTTTCCTCCGAAAGGAAATCTTCCCCCAAAGCTAGAACGATTTTCCATTAAAAAAAAGAACTACAATGTTATCTTCTCCAATTTCCTAGAGAATATTCTGAGGGAAATGCGCTAATTTTATTTAACCAAAAAACTTACAACAGTTGTATCCCCAATCCTCCTAACACGTCTTAATCTGTCTGGAGGCCCTCTAAAATTTTGTTGTCGAGCAGCAGCTTCTTCTATAGCTGCCCTAGCATGTTGAAAATCGCTAGAACTATAATCTACTTCACTTTGTTGACCTTCTTCTCTTCTTTCCCCTCCTCCTCCTTCCCTTCTTCTTCCTCCTCCACCGCTAGTTGTTGACATTGGCCGACGACCGTTATTATTGACTTGCTTTAAAATTTGTTTAAATTTTCTGTTTTTTTTTATTAATCTGCCAAATTCCCTCTTATCCCAGACTGAAAATATTACAATTCTGAGGTGTCACCCCAACGTATCACAAGGCCAACGTACCGCCGAGCTATAACTTAGTTCAAAATGGTCGACTCCGGGACTCACTGATATGGTTCGATTCAGCTCGTCGAGATGTATTGAACCATACCAGGGCGTCCTGGATACGACTATTCTGAACAAAGTTATAGCTCTGCGCGGTACCCCCCCTCTCGCGGTACTTCCCAATTCTGAGTTGATCCTAAAGGTGGGATAAGTGAGAGAGTTTGTGGAATATTTGGCTAAATTAAAAAAAATTTTTTTGAAGAAGACAAAATAAAGGTTTAAAAAGGGAATGAAAAAATTGAGAAAATAAATGATGGGCTATAAAAGGAAGAAAAAAAATATATTTATTGAATAAAGAGCCAAGAAAAAATAAAAAGCGGCAACAAATAAGTATTAAATTTTGGGGCAAAGGGAATTTTCCGATATATATTTATTTATTTCTTAAAATTTGAAAAAAAGAGGAGATGAAAGGGTGGAATGAAAAAAAGTCAATTTTATTTGTTGTTTCCTTTTCTAGAAAAAAATATTTTTGGGTTTTTGGATGACAATTTTTTTGAAAAATTACAAAAAATTTTTAAATAAAAAAACGTTGAGATTTCGGACCACAAGAATGGTTGGCTAAACTACAATTTTCGTACAAATTGGACAATCTATATGTCAATCGAAAGAGCTCGCTGAGCTGAATCGAATGTCACCAAAATTAGTCCGCGGACTCAACTGTGGACCGAGATACAGGACTCTAAAGTTCGGAAAACAATAAGGGGAACCAAGCTAACTTTTGGGATAAAAAATTCGAATATACAGATAATAGCTCATTCGAAAGGGCTCGTCGAGTTTAGTCGAACGAAACCAAAATCAACAAAATCTGACTTGACTTTTTTTAAGCTTTTTTTACCCATAACTTTTGAAATATTTTACCGAAAATTTTAAAATTTTTAAAGGAGTTAGCTAACATTACTAAAAATATTCAGGCTGTACTTTAGTACGTGGGTCCCGAGCTTGATATACAAATGTTATACCATTTGAAAGAGCTCGTCGAGCTGAGTCGAATGACACCAGTTTTAGCCCGAGGAAAAATTTTTGAACCGAGATATAGGCCCCCGAAAATCGAAAAACCATAGGGGGGACCAAGCACTTTTTTGGGGTGAAAAATTCGAAAATGCAAATTATACCTCATTCGAAAGAGCTCATCGAGCTGAGTCGAATGACACCAAAATCAACGAAATCTGACTTGATTTGACAAAGTTGTGATCTTTTCTTTTAGCTCCTTACCTATGGCATTTGTGGAGATTTTTGCTGCTACGGAGGCCCCAAATACGTCCAGAGCAAGGAAGATAGGAATAGGATTATGTTACGAGCCCAGACCCAGCGCCCGTAGACTCCCCGCGAGGCGCGTGCCGCAAAACCCCGCGCGAAGCGCGGGGTTTTGCACAAGCGCCTCGCCGACGCCCCATAGGTTTAGAGTTTTTTGTTTTTCTGTTATAACTTTGTCTAATCTTGTTCAATCACGGTGATTTTGGTGTCATTCGACTCAGCTCATCGAGCCCTTTCGAATGAGGTATAATTTGCATATTCGAATTTTTTGACCCCAAAAATTTTCAAGTTTCGGGGGTCTGTAACTCGTCCATATGAAGTCTGATTTCGTTGATTTTGGTGTCATTCGACTCAGCTCGATGAGCTCTTTCGAATGAGGTATAATTTGCATTTTCGAATTTTTCACCCCAAAAAAGTGCTTGGTCCCCCCTATAGTTTTTCAAATTTCAGGGACCTATATCTCGGTCCAAAAATTTTTCCTCGGGCTAAAACTGGTGTCATTCGACTCAGCTCGACGAGCTCTTTCAAATGGTATAACATTTGTATATCAAGCTCGGGACCCACGTACTAAAGTGACCCCAATATTCAGTCAGAATTTTACGGATTCAGGTTCTCATTTTCCAATTTTATAAACACATGCGCCAAACTTTTACTGCGCCCAAACGCCCATTTCCTTAAATAATTTTTTAATATTCTTCCTTCGAGGCTTATTATATTTTTTAAAGATTTTCAAAGAAAATACTCAAGGGAATGGATAATTGTTGGGAAGATACTATTTAGTATATTTTTTAAGAGAGGAATGTTATTGGCACTCATTTAAAAATAGGGTAAAATTAAATAAGAAATGGAGCGTAAAATCGAATGAGTAAAAAAGAAAATGAGAATTTACGCTAATAAAAATAAGGGTAAAAATAATATAAGAAAATTGTTTGAGAATTAATTAACGAATCTGTAGCCCCAAAATTTTTACGTTTTCAAACTAGGGTTCGATCCCCGTTACCTGGGGCAGGGAATTCCCCGGGGGACGGGGGGAGGTCCCCCACCAAAGCCCCCGTTCCCCGTCCCCGCGGCCCGAATTCCCCGCATTCTTGGTTCCCCGTGCCTCTCCCCCGCGGGGAAGCTCGCGGGGGAGACTAATTCCCCGCAACCCCCGTTCCCCGTAAACTCAGCCTCCACCCCGTAATATCGAACCCTATTTCAAACCTCCTTTAATACTAAAAATCTCTATATAGCCAACAATTTATTTAACTCTAACCCACTCAAAAACTTTATTTCCCCACCTCAGTAACTCGGATTTGAGCAACGTCTTCAGCAAACAACTCTTTAGGTTCGTCCTTTTCGAGTTGTCTTCGACTCCCACCCACCCCAGCAACGCCAATGCTGTCTGCAGTTCTTCTACCTGATCTCTCGTTTTGACGTAATCTATCGTCGTTCTAAAAGGATAAAATTAATGTTAAATAGCCTTTTTTGAAAGTTTGGGATATAATAGATTATGTAAATAGATTATCTTAAAGGTCATTGCTTAAATAAACGATATCAAAAATAATAATTCAAAGTAAAATGACGTTATAAATAAAGAGATAAGCTCTTTGGAGGATAGAAGAGCAAGGAAAACAACAACACATAAAGACACCTTTGAAGATATAGGTATGTGAGAGGGGGAGATTCTGCTAAGTTAGTAGAGATCGTCATGGGTGTGGACCAAGGCCTGGGTTTTTTCTGTACCCAGAGTCCAGGTCCAGTCATTTTTTGACCTTTCTGGGTTTTTCCTGGGCCTAGGTTTTTCCTGTACTACAGGCCCAAGTTCCAGTCCAGGTCAGTAAATCAAACCCAGAGTCCAGGTCCAGGCTTTTCAGAATTTCCGATCTCTATAAGTTAGGAATGAATATTGGGATATCGTTTAGAGCATATCTAAAAGGTCATTGTTTAGAAGGACAACAAAAATTCCCACGTGATGCAAATTCTACTAAACCAGAACCAAATATTTTCATTCCTTACCAAAAATTGAATGCTAGCTGTGTCAGATGTTCGAGAATAAGGCCGTCTTTGATTCACAAAGCTAATATATTCTTGCTGATCTCTTTCCCTCTCTTCGTAATCCTCCGATTGTTGCCACAAATAATTTGGTTGTTGGGGTGATTCACGTCTACTGCTTGGCCCAGCCACAGGCGTCGATTGTCCTTGGAAAGTATTTGAATGTAAATAGGTATAGGGGGAGGGCCGTTGCTGTCTTTGATGGTTGTAGTGGTTTTTGTCATCCATTTGTACGTTTTCTTTTACGGCCAAACATCTACCTATCTACACACTTTTAAAAAGAGAAAAGAAGAAAATGAGTGGGGGATACTGAGGGAAATTGGGAAAAGGAACAAAAAATTTTTTTTTGGTAAAAAAGGGAAAAGGGAGAGATCAACGTGAGGGCCTACCAAAATATATAAAAAAATATTATTATATGCTTGACTCTCGAAGGAAAGAAAGTCAGTCACCCTTTTAGTAGACTTGAGAATGTTTGCATTTATTGAGGTAAAAAAGGGAGGGAGAGGTAGAGGAGAGGGAAGATGAAGGTAGGGGGGAAAGCCTTTCAACGCGTATTTTTGCAATGTATTTTTGTTGGACCAACATCGATCTCCTCTTCTCTTTTAAAAGTAAAAAAAAATAAAAAGAACTGATCGAGAAAAAAACAAGACATTGACTAATTTAAGGGGTGAATTGGCAAGCAAATAGTACATACACACATTTTTATGTTGAACGCTTTTCAAGAGGTTGAAAATATAAGTTGATTTGTTAAAAGCTTTAAGAGATTGTTTTGACAATAAGAAAAAAGAAGTAAAAAGTTTGTTTATATATTGTATGTATGTATAGGTTTTGGTTTGAATAGTACTAAAAATATAAATATCAGAATAAATCAGAATTGTAAAAATATTAAAATTAAATTTACAAATCAGAATTAATTTTTTTAAATCAGAATAGTGAGAAAAGAAGAGAGACAAGAAAGAAGAGAGAACTAATTAAAAATCAGAATTGTAAAGAAAAATTACAAATCAGAATTAAATAAATTAATTACAAAATTACAAACCAGAATTGTTGCGTAGTGGTGTTACTATGTTTAAATAGAACATCCAGTGTAAGTAGAGATCGGACCAAACAAGTATTTAACGTCGGAAAATTAAATATTTGATCAAACTTTACTTGATTTTATTTGATCAAATATTTGTTCGACCACTTTTAGAAAAAATCAAATATTTTCAAATACTTTTAAATTAGGGTTGGGCCCCGAGCCTTCGGGGTTGCAAAAGTCGGGGTCGGGGTTTTAGGTCAAAAAATGTCGGGGTTCGGGGTCGGGGTCGGGGTTAGTCGGTGTCGGGGCCCAACCCTATTTTAAATTATTTAATTCTGCCATTTGTTCAATCTCTAAGTTTAAGTCCCAGTCAAGTTGTATCATACTAGGTCGGTTCATAAAAAAGTTCGTTTTTTGTTATCGCAAGTTTTTTTGGTCATAACTACTTTTATCCAATTTTATTTTTATCTTATTTTGTAGCCCAGAGTCTTAGCTTTATAATGATACCAAAATTTATTTTTTTTCTGCTTTAAGAATGTTGTTAAGATTCGGGGCAATTATTGAGTACAGTTAGATTTTTTATCTGTTTTAGTTTGCTTGAGATTTATCGATTTTTCTTTGAAAATAAATTTTTGGAAAAAACGAACTTTTTTATGAACCGACCTAGTATGTACTAGCTAGTCCAGTCCCTGATTTCTTTCGCATTTTCCAGCCATAATTCACCTTTGTCAACATTATGACTTTATATTTTTATTAAACTGTTAATTGGTGTGTAAGTCGATTTTTGGCAAATTTTCTGAAATTAAAAATAATCTGCCAAATTTTATAACTAAAATCATATTCTGTTACATATTTTTTTCTACAATTTTATTAAATTTCTGACTTTTTTTTTAAATTTAATTTTCCAACAAAACAATTTTTAATAATCAAACAGCTAGTCGTCACAACATTTTTGTATAATAATTCTTTCCATTTTTAATTTCTGGTTACACTTCTTTTTATGGTTAATAATCTTTATTTGACGTAAAAAATAAATAAAAATAAAAGCAAAAACCAAAACCTTTGTACGCGTGCTTCTTTCGGACTTTTTATTTTTCAAAAAATATTTTTTCCTCTCAATTTACATCAAAAAGTCCACCAGTTTATGATGCAGTCAGAAGTGAACGCTCTTTATAAAACATAAAAAATACAGTCAAAAAAGGACAGAAAATTCTTTTTTCTTCCTTTTGTAAGGGGGGGGGGGAGGAAGGTGGTTGGAGGTGGTTGTTGTTTAGTTCTGCAAAAAAAAACTTGTGACGGCTAATCGCCAATTTAATTGACTATCATTGACAAAAACATTTTTTAAGTAGCATTAATATAACCTCTCCTTCACTGTTTTTTCATTTTATTTTTAATGATAAAAATTTTTATTTTTGGTTATTGTACTTGTACTTGATTTTGCAGTTCTTTATTTTCAGAATTTTTAATTTATTTTTTAAATTCTGATTTGTAATTTATAGTTTTGTAATTCTGATTTTATATTTTGTTTTTATTGTTATACTGCTTATTCAATTCTGATTTGTAATTCTGATTTTTATAATATTCTGATTTGTATAATATTCTGATTTTTATAATATTCTGATTTGTAATTCTGATTTTATATTTTGTTTTTGTTGTTATACTGCTTATTCAATTCTGATTTGTAATTCTGATTTTTATAATATTCTGATTTTTATAATATTCTGATTTTTATAATATTCTGATTTTTATAATATTCTGATTTGTATAATATTCTGATTTTTATAATATTCTGATTTGTAATTCTGATTTTATATTTTGTTTTTGTTGTTATACTGCTTATTCAATTCTGATTTGTAATTCTGATTTTTATAATATTCTGATTTTATAATATTCTGATTTTTATAATATTCTGATTTGTATAATATTCTGATTTGTGATTTTGATTTTCATATTTCTGATTTCTAATTTATATTTGTAATTTCTTTTCACACATTTGTAATTCTGATTTTATATGTATCTCTAATTTCTGATTTGTATTTGTACTAGAGTTGCGTACCGACCCTACCCTGACATACCCTCCCTTGAATTCATTTTAATTCTTATTTGTAATTACTTTTGTAAAATATTACTTTAATATTTTTTAATGATTTATTTCTAATTTTTAACAATTCTTTTAAATTAAACATTTTTTAAAAATAATTTACACAATGAAAATTCCTTTCAGTAATTTATAAATATTTTTGATTGTTGTGCTAAATACCTTTTGGCCTTTTTTTATTTTTTATCGTTGCTTCGTCCTTGCAAAAAAGCAAAAGAATGCGCAATCACCTCCCTCCCCCTCCCTCCCTCTCTTCATTAAATATTAATAGAGCATTTTATATTAATTAAACAACTGGTTAAAAAATATGCGTGGAAATATTTTTTATTTAAAGGTAAAATGTAGCAAATCTACGGGGAAATATGTAATTTATGACAATTAATCACTAATTAGCAGCACAAAGTGTCATACACAAATTCTGTCACGTTTGCATACCAAAATAGCAACAAGAATATATAAATTCCTTTGTAATTCTGATTTGTAAATTTAATTCTGATTTTTAATTATATTCTTAACTGATTTGTAATTCTGATTGGTAATTTGTATTTTTAATTTGTAATTCTAATTGTAATTTATCAGAATTTTTAATTTATTCTTAAAATTCTGATTTTCAATTTATAGTTTTGTAATTCTGATTTTATATTTTGTTTTTATCGTTATACCTACTTATTTAATTCTAATTTGTAGTTCTGGTTTTTATATTCTGATTTATATTTGTAAACATTTGTAATTCTGATTTTTTATTTCTAATTTCTGATTTGTAACTTATATCTATAATTCTGATTTGTATTTCTTATTTTTATAATATTCTGATTTGTAATCTATATTTGTAATTTCTTTTCACATTTGTAATTCTGATTTTATTTTTATAATTTCTGATGTGTAATCTTGATTGTTTAATTCTGATTTTAATTTGTATTTTGTAATTCTGATTTGTAATTTTTAATTTCTATTTACAATTTCTGATTAATTTTTATATTGTTTTAATATTCTTTTAATTCTCTCGTATTCTGTTTGAACATGTGTCCTTATTTATTTCCAAACTTATAACATTTTATAGCCTTTTTTGACCCCTCTCTTTTTTCTGATTTGTAATTTCCATTTGACAAAAAAAGATAAAACTAATTAAATATATACTTTTGTTGTCTCTTATCAGTTCATTTCAACAATAAAATCATACTTTCCCCTAATAAAAAATTAAAGAATTAATAAATTAAATGATTTATTTCCATGACTAAGTAAAAACTTTAAACAGTAAATTGAAAACAGGCAAAAAATTAAACTTAAAAATTAGAAAGTTTTTTTGATATAATTTAATAAATTCTGTTGAAAGAATTTTTTAATTGTATTTTTAATTTGTTTTAAATTTCTGATTTATATGTATTTTTATTCTGATTGATATTTTTTCAATAGTTTTTAATGAATAATTCTGATTGTAATTTCTAATTCTGAATTTAAAATCTCTGGAATTAAATTCTGATTTAAAAATTCTGATTAATTTCTGATTTTTCATAATTCTGTTCAAATAGGATGAATTCTGATTAGTATTCCGAGGGAAATTCTGATTTTTATTTATTTTTATTCTGATTGTAAATTCTGATTTGTAATTTGTAAAATAAAAAGTAAATTCTGATTGTAATTTTAATTCTGAATTTATAATCTCATTCGGTTTAAATTCTGATTTAAAAATTCTGATTAATAATTTTCTGATTTATTTCTGATTTCTCATAATTCTGATTAAATAAGGGTGAATTCTTATTAATAATTCCAGTATGAAATTCTGATTTTTATTTCATTTTTATCCTGATTGTAAATTCTGATTTGTAATTGTAAAATAAAAAGTAAATTCTTATTGTAATTTATAATTATGAAATTATACTCTCATTGGGCTGAAATTCTGATTTAAAAATTCTGATTAATAATTCCTATAGGAAATTCTGATTTTTTATTTCATTTTTATTTTGATTGTAAATTCTGATTTGTAATTGTAAAATTATAAATTTAAATTCTGATTTTAATTTTCTCAATTGTAAATTAATATTTTCAATTTCCTTCTTCAATTATAATTCTGATTTTATTTTAAACTTGAGACTTCTCTTTCTATAGAAAATCATTTTTTAAAATATATTTCCGTCCGGTTTTACATGACAAAAATAGAAAATCAAGTCAAACAATAAAAAAAAGCTTTGAATAAATAAAAAAAGAAACACGAAATTGGATAGCGCAAGGTGTTTAGTAGACGACTATTTTTTTAATTTATTGACTGACCATTCATTCTCTCTTTTCTTTCTCTCTTTTTAATATTTTTAGAAGTAGCTAGTTGTTGATCTAGCTTTTTAATAATATTTTTATTTTTATTTATTTTGCGCTCTTTTTTGTGGTTTTTATAAATATATAGTTGGGGCTTTTCGATTTTTAATTTTATATTTAATTATTTATTTATAAGAGAGAAAGAAAAAAATATAATTTTTTAAAATTAATTTTTAATTAAAAAAGAAGAATCAAATATCAATTTTTAAAAAATCATATTTCGCCCTCACAATGATAAATTAATTTAATTTTGTGGTAATGTTAATAAATAATATGTAATTTTATCATTTTATTTGTTGATCTCTCATTATTTAATATTTTTTAAAATAAAATGTTATTTTATTTTTTTGATTAATAATTATAGTTTAATAATCTCATCATAAATATCAATAAACTACAATTATAAATACCCTATAAATATAG